ACTGAAACGTTGTCATGTGGCGCATGACTGTAAAAGGATGGAGAAAGATGTAGCATGCAAACAGCAACCACAAGAAAACAGGAGCAGCTATAATAATATCAGACAAAATAGGCTTTAAAACAAAAAAGTGTCACTAAAGATAAGGGACATTTTATAATAAGAGGGTTAATGCTTCAGGAACATATAATAATTATAAACACACAGCACCTAATAAATGAGCACCAAAATGCATGAAGCAAAAATTAACAGAAATGAAAGGTGAAAGAGACAATTCAACAATAACAGAGACTTCAATACTCCACTTTCAATACTGAATAGACCAAACAGGCAGAAGATCAATCAGAAAAGAGAACACTTGAGCAACACTATAAATCAACTAGACCTGACAGGTATCTATAGAAAACTATTCCTAACGACAGGAGAACATAGTCTTCTTAAGTGCATGTGGAACATTCTGCAGGATACGACATCCACTAGTGAAACCACAAAATAAATCTCAAAAAACTTAAAAAGACTGAAATAATACAAAATTTGTTCTCTAATTGCAATAGAATAAAATTTAAAATTAACAATAGAAAAAAATGTGAAGCTCAAACAATTGTCTCCTAAATCACCAAAGGGTTAAAGAAGTAAGCAAAAGGCAAACTGGAAAGTACTTTGAGACAAATGAAAATGAAGACACAACATACCAAAACTTACGGGATAGAGCAAAAGCAGTGGGTTAGAGGGAAATTTATAGCTGTAAATGCCTATATTAAAAAAGAAGAAAGATCTCAAATCAATAACTAAAGACACTGGAAAAAGAGAATAAACTAAACCCGAAGCAAGCAGACAGAAGGAAATAATAAATATTAGAGTGGCAATAAAATAGGCAAGAGAAAAACAATAGAGAAAATCAACAAAATCAAAAGTTGGTTCTTTGAAAAGATTAACAAAATTGACCAAGAAAAACAAGTGAAAAGACTCAAATTACTAAGATCAGAAATGAAAATAGGGACATTACTACTGACTGTACAGAAATAAAAAGGACTATAAGAGAAACTATGAATAACTGTATGTCAAAAAAATTACATAAATTAGATGAAATGGATACATTCCTAGAAAGATAAAAACTACCAAAACTGATTCAAGAAGAAATAGACAATCTGAAAAAATACATAATAAGCAAATGAAATAATACTCAAAAACCATCCCCAAAGGAAAAGCCCAGGTAAAGACGGCTTCACTGCTGATTGCTACCAAACATCTGAAGAAGACAATACAAACTCATTAACCTTTCCAAAAAACAGAAGAGGAGGAAATACTTTTGAACTCATTCTGTGAGACCAGTATTATCCTAATACCAAAACTAGACAAAGAGAACAGCGGAAAACTACAGATCAATGTCTTTAACAGATATGGGTGCAAAAATAATAAAATACTAGAAAACTGAATCCAGCAACATATAAAAAGAATTATAAACCATGACCAAGTGGTATTTATCCACTTTTACAGGAATGCAAGGTTGGTTTAACATCTAAAAATCAATTAATATTATACATCATACCAACAGAATAAAAAAAAAAAAACCACATGATCATCTCAATAAATACAAACAGAGCATTTGACAAAATCCAATATCCTTTCATGAGAAAAACACTCAAGAAACTTGGAATAGAAGAGAACTTCCTCAGCTTGATAAAAGGCATCTATGAAAAAACTTATACCTAACATCATACTTAATGGTGAAAGACTGAATTTTTTATCCCTAAGAAAAGCAGTCTTATTCTAGGGAAAAAAACCCAGAAGTTTTACCTCACCATTTTATTTCAACATTTTACTAGAGGTTTTAGCCAGTTCAGTGAGCAAAAAATAAATAAATTTAAAAAAAAAGCATTCATGGGGCCGGTCCTGTGGCCGAGTGGTTAAGTTCGCGTGCTCCACTTCAGCAGCCCAGGGTTTCCCTGGTTCGGATCCTGGGCATGAACATGGCACCACTCATTAGACCATGCTGAGGCGGCATCCTACACAGCACAATTAGAGGGACCTGCAACTAAAATATACAACTATACAACTATGTACTGGGGGGATTTGCAGAGAAAAAAGCTGAAAAAAAAAGCATTCATAATGGAAAGAAAGAAGTAAAACTGTCTTCACTCATAGACAACGTAATCATCTATATAGAAAATCCAATGGAATCTCCAAAAATTTACTAGAACTAATAAATAAGTTGAGCAAAGCTGTGGGATAAGATTGCAATATACAAAAAATCAATTGTATTTCTACCTATTAGCAATAAACAAAAATTGACATTAAAAAACTATCAAATACTATCAAAAATATGAAATTCTTAGGGAGAAATATGATAAAAGATTTGAAAGACCTGTATACTGACTCCTACATTGCTAAGAAAAAATCAAAGATGACCTAAATAAATGGAGAGTTAGACTATGTTCATGGATTGGACAACTCAATATTGCTAAGATGTTATTTGTCACAAAATTAATCTATTAACTCAACAGAATAACAGCAGACACCTTTTTAGAAAGAAACTGACGAACTCACTCTAAAATTCGTATGGTATTGCATATGACCTAGAACAGCCAAAATACTTTTGAAAAAGGAGAACCAACGCAACCCAATTTTAAGACTTACCATTTGTCTGCAATAATCAAAACAGTACTGATGGAAAGATAGACCAATAGATCAATGAAAAAGAACAGAGAGTCCATAAATAGGAACATATATGGACAAGTGCTTTTTCTAGGAAGGTGCAAAGGCAATTCAACAGAGGGTACTTTTTTCAACACATGCTGCTAGAACAATTGGATATCCAAATTCAAAAATATGAATGGGGATCCTACTTTGTACCATATACAAAAATTAATTAAAAACTGGATCATGGACTTAAAGGTAAACCTAAAACTAGAAAAATTCTAGAAGCAAACAGGAGAAGATATTTGTGACCTTGATTTGGACCAAGAATGTTTAGATATGACACTAAAAACATAAGAGCAAATGGATAAACTGGACTACAACAACATTTAAAACTTCTGTTCTTCATAAGCCAATGTTGAGAGAATTAAAAGACAAGCTACAGAGTAGGAGAAAATATTTGCGAAGTATATGTTTTATAAAGGACTTATATCCAAAATATATATTTTTTAAAACTCTCAAAACTCAATAAGAAAACAAGCAACCAATAAAAAAAGAGCAAAAGATTTGAACATACACTTCATCAAAGAATAAATATGGATGGTAAATGAAAAGATGCTCAACGTGATTAATCATGAAATGCAAATTCAAATCACAATGATAAACTATTATACACATGTACATATTACATACATATATACACCTATACTACATGTTAGCATGGCTAAAATTAAAGGACTGATCATACTAAGTGTTGGCTAAGTAAGAATGTGGAGGAACTAGGACTCTCATACACAGCTGGTGGAAATGCAAAACGTTACAAACAACTTTGGCAATTTCTTAAAAAGTTAAATACATACTTACCATATACATTCCAGCCACTCCACTTTTAGGCATTTACCCAAGAAAAATGAAAGCCTATGTCATCAATGTTCATAGTAGCTTTATTTGTAATAGCCAACAACTGGAAACAACCTAAATGTCTATCATGAATGAACTGATAAACAACCTGTAGCGCGTACATACAATGGATTAATACTCAGTAATAAAAAAGGAATGAGCTACTGACACATGCTACAACAAGGCTGAATCTCAAATAACTATGCTGAGAGAAGGAAGCCAGACAAAAATGTATACATATGGTATAATTCCACTTACACAGAGTTGTTGGAAATGCAAACTAATGTATGGGGACAGGAAGCAGACCCTAATTGTCTGGAAATTGGCACGGGAAAGGAGGGGTATGAAGGAGGGTTAGAAAAGGGCACGAAGAAACTTTTGGGGGTGATGGATATGTTCACTATCTTGTTTGTGGTCATGGTTTCACAGGTGTATACATACGTCAAAACGTGTCAAATCGTATACTCTAAATATGTGTAGTGTATTGTATGTCAATTATATCTCAACAAAGCCAGTAAAGAAAAAAATACCTGAAATATGAAAAGTTATATTAAAATTTTATTATAGCTGATGCAGAGAAGTAACCAAATCTGTCAAAATTTGAGTTAATGTAACTAATTTACTAACTAAAGTTTGAGTTGCTTTGGTTAATCTGAGGTAGGTACTACTTAGCAATAAATTGTGTGACAGGTAAACAGACAGGAACGTCAAGGACTGGAGATCAAGCTACTACTTGGGTCTTTAAACTACAGCTTGGAGCTTTAAAATTAAAAATTGTTTTGCTCCTAAGTAAAGCTTATTAACTAGGAAAAGCTCTGTTACCCTTGGTCAGAAATGGGTCATTCATGTTACATTCCAGTTAGCCTGGACTGGTTTTGCGGAATTGGTTCCTAAGCGAAGCAGCACTCCAGGACTCCACAGCCTTTACTGCTCTGAATTCTTCTCCCAAAAGGTGAGCGTGGGGAGAGGGGAGAGGAAGCCTCTTTTGCAGGCATTTGTAGCAGAACCATTTTTTTCCTCCTATACTTTCATGCATATGTGACAATGTTTTGATGCAGATTTACCGAAACTCCAAGTCACTTTTTGTTTCTAAATTGAGCTGTTACGGAAGATGAATTTATACTTATCCTTTATTAGGGGAAGCTTTACCAGTGAACTGGTAGCTCCCAAAACTCTGGAACCAAAGACAGCTCCAATTTACTATTTGTATGTTGTTCTTAAATCCTTCCTGGTGCAATATAATTGACTAGTCTGGTCTGCAGGCCAAAAGGTGATGTGACTACAATGCATAGGGCAATTCCAGAAGCACGACTTCACTTGCTAAGACAATGGTTGTGTCCCTCCATTCAACAAGCCCAGCCAAATTCTATTTCCCTAATCAGAGCTAAATGCCTACACTGTATGACAGTAACATTTACTCACTTATTTATAAAATTTACATGATTTTAGAGAAAAAAAAAGGATACCTGTGTTTTGAATTCCAGAATGTTATTTCCCGGATTAATTCTTCCTAGTAATATCAAATCCTTTATCTGCATACATTTCTTTTTAGGAGCTGTGCTGTAGTTCACGGGCTTTTTTATAGTATGTTGATGGCCAGACCCAGAGGAGGGGCTCTGACTGTCATTTGCATGTGGAACAGCAAAAGCTGACTTTTTAAGATATGGTTTCATCTGATGCCCAGTTTCACTGCCTAAGACATCAATTCCTTGATGTACCAGGGATTCTGGTGCTCCCCTGGGTGGTTGCTGGGAAGCTGTTTTCCTAGTTCGTCTTTTTGGATTACAATTGGAAAGAGCCTGATCACAAATAACAGCTGATGGATGGGTGTCATTTTGGGCAAATTCACTTGAGGTTTCTGAAATATTTAATGTGCCAGTTACTGCTGAAGGACTACAGGATTCATGCCCTTTGGCTGTGGTTTCTGTAAGGTCATTTTCTTTTTGTGAATATTCTGCTTGAGCAAAAAAAGCAACAGGCTGGGATGGTAATTTAATCTTCTTAGTGCCATCTGAATATCTCGATTTTGATAACCCATCCAAGGTACAGTCTTTGACCTTTTTTTTAGAATTCAGCTCATTTCCAGAAAATTCTTCCCTTCTCACCATCTCTGAAATGAGATGAGTACAGGTATTTTGGCTGTCATTCCACGCTTCCAGAGACAACTGTGTTTCCTGCACACGTCTACAAACAAGGCTGACAGAAGAAAGGGAAGATGACTGAGGCTGCACTGAAGTTTCCGGACTGATAAGCTCTTGGCTGTCCTTATCACTACAGATTTCTGAGCTGGACGGCTTCCTCAAACTAAGACCAGACAAAGATGCTACATCCTGATACTTCTGAATTCTCTCGCTTATTTTTTTCTGTTTCTTTGCCACAACCAAAAGGCTCTTCTGTCTTGCGGCCAAGCTAGCCAGTTGTTCTCTCAGGACTCCCTGCTTAAATGATGCTACGGACACCCTGTAGGAAGAAACAGAGAAGAAAATGCAAAAACAGGAGGAAACTTTTTCTCTAGCAGTCATTTAAATTTTAAAGATATTCTTTCTCAATTTAAGTTTAATCAGCTCAAAGTAGTCTATCTCTGCAAGGTATTTCCTGTGAGAGGAAGGTGACTCTTAAGGTGAGTCTGCCTTTTTTAGGAGTGACCTTGTAGGTATCCACATTTATATTCATGATTATCAGTTGTGAGTCAACTCCAGAAGAGAAACAAAACTCAGGTTATCCACCTAGATATCTACTAGCCTTTACTTGGAAGGCAGCAGGTGATGGCTGGGGAGGAACACCATTCTTTACGTTTGGAGTTTGCTTACCAGTTTACAAGGAAAAGGTGCATCAGGAAGTAAGCAAAATTTGGGAGTCAAGTTCCACTCAAATTCCCTTAGCTATGGAGGAGTGAGACTGTTCTGTGTATAATTACGCTGAGCCAGGCCTGAGATGCACCAGTTCATCAAGTAATCAGGTCATTGCACTTTGAACCTGTATCAAGTCCAGAGGACCACCCACACAAGCATTATTAGCCTGTGTTCCTTCTCCAAACCAAATCTCTGAGGGGCTTGATGACTAAGTGGGAGGAAATGGCTCATCCACACCTCTGTCTTTTGGTGATACCCACCTACACCACACTGACCTTCAGGCTACTGGACACTTTGTTTCCAGTGGTTCTCAAACTTTCTAGTCTCAGGACTTCCTTACACTCTTAAAAATTACTGAGGAACCCAAAGAACTTTAGTTTATATGGGTTATATGTATCAATATCTACCGTTTTAGAAAATAAAACTGAGAAATTTTTAAAAAACAAAAATACACAAGCACACATTCCATTAGCTACCAGAGTGATGATATTATCACATATCACATGGCCTCTAGAAAATTCCACCGTACACTCATGAAAGAATAAGAGCAAAAAAATCTTAGTATTATTACAAAAAATCTTTTGACTTCATGAACCCCTTGAAATGGTCTCAGGGACCCTTAGGGACCACCCTTTAAGAGTAGCTGTTTTAAGGGAAAGCAAGAGTAGAGAGATCTGTTTCTTCTACCACAGTTTAGAGTTGTATTGAACTCCAAGCAGACTGGGTGTTAACGTGAGTAGTAGACACAAAGGAAAGAAGCAGAAAGAAGAAGTAAGATGAGCAAACAACTGGTAGCATAAAATGCCAGAAGCGGACAGAGGAGAAACAAAGGAGAAAATAATATCACACTTAAAACTATGTGAAACAAAGAGTTCAGACAGAAAATGAAAGTGCTCTTTAGATTACAAGATTTTAAGTTGTAAAGCAGTATTAATAGGGATTTACACACTTGAAACCCCAACTGATCAGGAACTTCTCAAAATTCTAGATGTATTGTTAATCACAGGACACAAAGGAAAACTGAAGCCAGCGGTCTCCAAAGTCCCCTAGAAAACATCCTGTAGTCAGTTACCCACCTATAAGTTCACCTGCTTTATACTGACAGGAAAATCGGAAATAGAAAGGAATTTACGATACTTATTCACTATAGAGAAAAGAAAAATGGGGATAAAACAAGACTTATAAATAAAAATAGCAAACTTATTTTTAAATAAGTTCAGAAACACCTGAAATATGCAATAGAAGTCAAATGATTGTAAGACAAGAATACAAGGGAAATTAGAAAAATTACATGTGAATAAAGAATAGGGTCGAAAAGATAGCTGCACCCCATGTTCGCTACAGCGCCACTTCCAACAGCCCAGACGTGGGAGTGGCCCAGCGCCCACCTAGGAACGAACGAATGAGGAAAATGTGGCATGCAGGTACAGTGGAAAATCACTCAGTTATAAAAAGAAGGAAATCCTGTCATTTGCAACAACATGGATGGCCCTTGAGGTCATTATGCTAAGTGAGATAAGTCAGAGAGAAAGACAAATACCATTACATCTCACTCACAGACAGAGACTAGACTGGTGGCTGCTGGAGGTGGAGGGTGGGGGATGAGGGTGGGAGAAATGAGTGAAGGTGGTCAAAGGTACAAACATCATCCAGTTATGAAATAAATAAGTCATGAGGATGCAGACAGCATGGTGACTACAGCTAATAATACCGTGTTTATATTTGAAAGGTGCTAAGACAGTAAATAAAGCACTCAGTTTTTTCACTCACCTGTATTTTTCAGCCAGATCATCCCTTTCTGCCTTCTGTTCGGCAAGCACATTATCCACGACCTCCTTTATCTCTAACATCTTTTCAGTGTATTGGTCTAGAAACATGGTGGTAAAATAAGAAGTCAGTTAACTGAGAGACAACAAATGTTAAATTTGGCCACACAGGACTTAGCCTCTAAGTCCTGTACAAAACTTGGATCCCTCAGCCAGATCACAGATACAAAAGGTGTCAGAATATGGAGCCTGTGAATTTGTAAGGAGATTTTTTTAGAGAGCTGTTGCTTAACTGGGTGGGAATCTCCATCCTGAGCAGCAAAAGTGAGAGGTGAGGCGGTTTCTCTCCTTTAGCTCAAGCCTAATGGGGACAGCATCTCAAAGGTTGTTGAGATATAATAACTCTCAGTTGAGGTGACAAAGGACTCATATTTGGCTTCTTCCCTGAATATCTAGAGGTCGAGATCCTGAAGGGCAAGAAGCTTCCACAGCAAGACAAAGAAAAAGCTGCTGCTGTGCTGGGAATGAACTTTGCTCCCTTCTAAGAACGGGTCCAAGGGGCCCGGACCCTGCTGACCTGCCTTGGAGCCTGCCCAGTGATCCTGCCAGGAGGGCTTCTAGCCGAGGGTGAGAGTCTGTGTAGGGAGGACACCAGGAAAAACAGAAGCTGAGAGGAGACTGAGGGGACAGGGAGAGGAAACTGTGAACTGCCACATCACAGAGCCATATAGAAGCTTCAGCAGAGCCTCAAAAACTGCTCTCAAGTCAAGAGACGTAGTTTAAACATCTGCCAAAGAGCAACGGAGCCAACTGCAGTCAGGACTCAGGCACCAGCCAAGAACTCTGGGTCCCAAGGCCTTCCCTTCCTCCCTTAAGGGGGCAATGAGATAAACATAAAGGATCATGAGTAGTCGATGCACTGTAATGGTTATAACCGAATAAAATTAAGTTGCAAAGCCTGGGGCTGGGGAGGGGAGAAAAGTGTCTAATCTTAGAAGCATTAAAAGAACAGCAAAGAAAAAAGGTGATACATTTTACTATACAGAATTTGAAATCTGAAAATTTATGTATGTTAGCACAAACTAACACTTGTTACAAATAAAAAGTCAAGTGGCCGAAAAAAGTATTTTCAACAGTTATGGCATAAAATGGGTCAGTATACTTGATTATATAAAATATTTATTAATAGAAAACAGGAACAGTCAATTCACAAAATAGGAAATAAAACTAGCGAAAAAATACCACTAATAATCAATAATGAAAATGAAAATACTAGGCACATTTTTCTTATTAAACTAGTAAAATTATTGTAAATGAAAATACTGATGCTATTAGCAGTGTAAAGAAAAAGACTAATGTGTACTGGTTGAAGTGCAAATTAGAATGTAATACTTTAGGAAACTAATTTATCAATATGAACCAATAGATTTTTAAATGTCTATATATTTTTCAATATTCCAATAATTCCAATTTTGTTAATCTTTTCTAAGCAGCTAATCTAAATCCAGAAAAAGCTACGTGTTGTAACATAATAGGAAAACGTTGGAAAAACCCAAATGCTCAAGAAAAAGGAAAAAATTAAGTAAACCATGGAACATTTATTGAACAGAATACTATGTAACCACTAAGAATGATGGCTATGGGAAAAAAGAATGCAAAAATAGCACTTCTAGCATGATCCTAACTGTTTTTAACAATTTTATTGAGGTACAATTGTGTAACTATGTTCTTAAAAAAAATTATGTATCCCCCACAAAAAGGAAACAAATACATCAAAATATTGTGATGAGACAGTAGGTAATTTTAGCATATTTTTTCCTTTTTTTTTTGAAGTGCATCTATGCCTTTTATAATGAAAAAAATTATAAACTTGGAAAATTCATCTAAGATGCATAAAATATTATAAATACTAAATAAAATGTACAAACCATACATATTTGTTTGGTGGTATGAGTTATTTTGTATTATTTTCCTCAAAACATAACATGTACCAAGTGTTAGGACAAGATAAAAAGCAGAATGGGTATAACTCAAAAAGAAACAATTTTTTACAGAGGCTACACAACACGAGTTAGGACAAGACATGGACTAACGGCTGTATCCTGCTACACAAAAGATTGATGAGGTACTTTAAATTACTTTATTTAGTTTTTTGCTGAGGAAGATTGGCCCTAACTCTGTGCCAACCTTCCTCTGTTTTGTATCTGAGCTGCCACCACAGCATGGCCACTGATAGACAAGTGGTGTAGGTCCATGTTCAGGAGCCGAACCCGGGCTGCTGAAGAGGAGCACACTGAACTTAACCACTAGGCCACCTGGGCTGGCCCCCCAAATTACTTTATTTTTAGCTGACTATTTTTAACATTCAGATCTGCATCTATCAGAAGTGACTTTCTACCTTGTAAATCATAACTCAAGAAAACACAGCTGTGAACCATCAAGGGTTTGCAAATACTGAAGTTTTGAGAAATTAAGATTATTAGGTCAAGGATCAGAGTCTCATTTACTATTTTGAATCGCTAATGCTTTGCGAACAGGAAGACATCTATGCAGCAAGACGTTCACCGGGTTTACGTGCTCATCTGAAAGTTAGGAGGATTTGCTCTACTTGTGTCACCACTGCACATTCCTTTTCTGACCTGTTTTTAAGGGTTGCCCATAGCTGGGTGAAACTGAGGAGCTGAGGAGTAATATAATCTCATCTCTAGTCACTGTCTTCTACTTTTTGTCACATCTTCATCTAAACATATCACCAGTAGTGGCTTATCCCTGATCATGGTTTTCAGTGTCTCTCAAATTACCACAGCTTGAGTCTAGAAGTACCTTTATCAACAATTACACAAACTACTGGTTGGCATCACTGACTTATAATGATCAGTCCCGGCACTTTAAATACTCCAGGATAAAAAAAGACCACTTTTTCAGCCACTGTGAGCTTTGAAATAAATATGAACCTTAAGATGAGGTAGCAATAACCTTGGATATCTGAAATAATCAAACTTAAGTATCAATCCATATTTACCTGCCTCTTCAGGGGTTCTTATTTCAAACTCTAATAAGTCTTCTTGTTTTTCTTCTATATCTTGTAGAGTGGCACTGACGATCTGACGCTGTCATATAAAAATATTAAAAACTTCATTACAAGAATGTAGATGTTTCTCTGATACGCAATTGGCAAATGCTAAAGAAAGTGCTGTTAAAAATGCTCATTTCCCTTTACATTGAAAATGTACTTAAGCTTTGCTTAACCTTAACCGTGTGTTGCATTTTGAAAAAGAAAGTAAACACTATCTTGATTTATGTAGCAGAGTTTTTCTACTCCTGGAAAATAGAATGTAAGAGCAGCCACCATGTAAACAATCCTAACTGCTCGCTGCCCTCTGTAATACCTACAGGTATAGGAAAGCAACAACTGCTCAGCACACAGGATTTAAAAGTCACATACACACAACAGGTTCACTTTAAGACATTATGACTCTCATTGCACACTATGGAAATCTCACACATAATCTCAGAAACACAAAACACCACTCTCAAAAACTCACAAAGGGGATTTTCAGACCACCTCTGCATCCCCTTGTCAGTACTGATCTTTCTGCCTGGAATATCTTCAATTTGTTCTGTCCAGATTCCTCTCTCTCTTAGGAGAGATGGAGTCGTGGAGTGGACTCTGTAACCAAGCTGCCTGGGTGTGAATTCTGGCTCTACCTCTTCTAAGCTGGGCGACTCCAGCAGATTACTTAGCCTCTCCTTGCCTAAACTGAGTACACATGTAAAATGCTTAGGACAGTGCCAGCACGAAGTAAGAGCTCAATAAATGCTGCTTATTATTATCTAAAACCCATCTCATACAATAAACCTCTGACTAATCTAATCCATACTAATTTCTCCTTTCTCAGAATTACTTAAGCATTTCAGTGCTACATAATTTACCATGAATATGTATAATGTCTAATGCATTATATTTATCTAAGATAATGAGATCTTGTAGGCAAGAGCATGGCTTTGAATTTGTGTACGGTTTCCACACTGTTGGATATATAGTTGTTGTTCAATAAATGACAACTGATGGACTGACTCATATTATCTATCCTTTTATATATTTTCAATACACCTTCATTTTTAAAATGTGCAGGCCCTCAAAGGCCTCTGAAGTATGTTGCTTTGAAATTTTACTTTGGTACTCACAAGGAATACGGAAAGTGCACTAATAAAACCATTTAATTATGTCGAAAAGTAATCTCACTGCTTCCATTTATGAAACGTACCAAAGTAAAACTACAAAATATAGATATGCAAAACAGACAAACAAAACAAGATTTCTCTCTGGTTACAGTGAATGGCTACGGTTACCAAAGCAAACTAAAGGTCCGGATCTGTGCCCAGGCTAACGCTCTCCCTACAGATTAGGATAAAGAGAACATTTCTTGATGCTGACTTTCCTTTCTGTTTGGCCTCATGTTGTGGATGCACTCACTCTCGGCCACCACGGGCCACGGCCTTTCACTCTACGCCAGCTCCACCCTCCACCATGGAGGCTCCAGCATAACTTTGTCTCCAAGATCCCCCTCCTTAAGTCCTTCATTACTGCCTGTTTCTCTTTAAAAAAAATCCTAACCTAGGATCTGTCTTTGGAACAAGCAGCTTTAGACAGTTTATACTCTGTTTACTGTAAAGCTTTACTACGATTTATTCCAAGTTTGCAGTTTTACTATGGCAGGATCATCTTTGCCTCTGACATCTCTGTTATAGCTTCATACGGTACAGCACAGTGGGTAAGAGCGCAGGCTCTGGAGCAGACTGCTGGAGTTTAATTCTGGCATTGCTACTTAATAGAAATGTAATTTTGCGTTAAATTACTTAATCTCTCTTACTCTAGTGTCCCCATCTGTAATGAGGAAGTTAATGAGAATAACAGAACCTACCCAGAAGGGTTGTTATGAGGACTAAAGGAGTTCACATAAAGTGCTTAGAGGACAGCACGCCATATAATAAGTGCTCAATGAACCCCAAGTATTATTAGTATTATTACTTCTGTACTCATTCTATCCGGGAATAGCAAAGGAGGCTGCCCACATGCTGGGATGGGAAGGTGTTACAAGGCAGCACCAAACTAAAACCATTGATTTCCTTTGTATCTGGCCACAGAGTCACCCCCTACCTTCAATTTCGTTTGAAATTTCCAACACTGGGAAACAATTTTACATTTTCAAAAGACAAACCCTTAATGACTTTAAAGTCTTCCTATTTCTTTTGAGTTTTTCTTTTTCTTTAAAGTTGGTTTTCCTTAGACCCCTATATCTCCATTACATTTTCCCTGAGGCTTGGCATCTAGAATGATATAATTATTCCTGAAGCAAATATCCACATAATTAATAATAGGGCCTTTTCCCCCTAATGTTCTAATCTTTATGTGAAAATACATCTTAAAGATACTTATGGTCAATATGATGGGCTGAGCTGATACAGAAGGAGCCCTGTCCACTCCAAACACATGGAAATATTGGACAAAATACAATAAGCTTTACACACACACAGAGCTAAGAATGGAAACGGAAATTCCCAGGTGCCAGCCATGAAGCCAGCAGTGGCCCATGGGTGGTTCGGAACAAACAGAGGTATTAGGGGCCGGGTTTTTAACGCCCACAAAGGGACAAGCCCACATGAGGAGGGAGTTAGAATAGAATCCCTGAATAAAGCTAGTGACCTTCAGTGCATGTCTTTTAGGTTAAATAAGGATTAGAAAAACTCTACTTGGCACCCACCTAAGCCTTTGGGTAGAAAACTAGAGACCCAAGCCTATGCCACATGTGTATACAAGAACAAAATTTATACAGTCTGTGTGGTTCAGGAACCCAAACTGAGAAATTAGCATAAAAACTGGTGCGAAACTGATCAACCCCTACGGCCCGAGCACAGGCAGATATAAAATACAAAGGCTAGGCAGACCAAATTCCTACAGGAAACACACTCACTGACAGGAGATCACAAGAGAAAATTACAAACCATGGGAAGAACCAAAATATCATGAGAAAGAGTCGGGAGGAGAATTTGAAATTCCTTTAAAAATGTTTGAGGGGCTGGCCTGGTGGTGTAGTGGTTAGGTTTGCACACTCTGCTTCAGGGTTCACAGATCTGGATCCTGAGCATGGACTTACACACTGCTTGTCAGGCCATGCTGTGGTGGCATCCCACATACAAAATAGAGGAAGGCTGGCACAGATGTTAGGTCAGTGACAATCTTCCTCAAGCAAAAAGAGGAAGATTGGCAACAGATGTTTGTGCTGGGCCAATCTTCCTCACCAAAAAAAAAAAAAAAAGAAGAAGAAGAAGAAGAAAAGAAAGGAAGGCAAAAAAAGTTTGAAAAGATTTTTCTTAATGCTATCAATATTGTAAGGCAAGATCAGGAAAGTCTTTTTGTTTTTTTATAACAAAAATTTGAAAAGGAAACATAGAAGTTCTAGAAATAAAATAGTTATTGAAATTAAAGATTCAATGCAGGGTTAAATAGATAGAAATATTGAGGAGAGAAATAATGAATCAGTTTGAATACCACTTAAAATAAAATATTTAAGGTATAAATTAGTTGATTAATCAGTTTCAGTTCAATGAATGACATTTTCCCCTCTCCACTAACTGAAAGTCTGTAAGAGAAGTCTAATCAACATGCACAGTCAGATTCAAAGTAATATTTCATGGAGGATGCTACTTTGCTTAAGAAGTTAGTGTCTAGTAAGCTTTGTGTTTTTATCAAACTAAGAATATCCATCTTATCAATTACTATATATTTTATTGAGCAACTACTATGTTATTTTCCCCAAAAATACACCTTTACATGAGGGGTTTCACATATAGCTAACACGATATTAGCCATGTGGGATCCAGGTTGGCTTAACCAGGTTGTGTACCTTTTCTCTGTCTGGGTTCCAGGGTCTTTTCTGCCTAGTAAATGTCCTAGGCACTTTCTGGGTGTAGCTGGATAAAGGAACACTATGACAGTAGCAGTGTCTGTGGGACAAGAGGCAGCCAAAGAACCCAGCCTAGGTGTAAGGAACAGCAGCTAATCATAATTCTGTATTCAATGCAGACAACTGAGAGTTAACCACACAACACATCTGGCTTGACTGATTCTGTTCAATTATGCTATTTTATTTTCTTATGACAAAACTATTTTCAACCTGCATGTCCTTAAAATGGAAAGAGTGTTGCCAATAGCCAATGGCTGGCTGGCCCAAAGAATGGCATTTTCTAGGCTGAAGAATGAAAGGATTTCAATGTCACTCACCACAGGAAGGCTTTCTCTTGCTTTCTTTTGGTGTGAAAGAGAAGGTAGATCAATAGTTTTGCAGCCATCACAAAAACACCGTTTATGTCTTTTAGACCGGACAGCAGGAATTTTTACTTTAAAAAATAAAATTAGAAAATATAAGAATGTACAAAAATTTAGGTTTATTTTATCAATTGTAATGGTGACAGAATGGGAAGAATAAATTAAGTCTATAATTATTATAATATCTTTTTTTTTTCTTTTTCTCCCCAAAGCCCCCAGGCACATAGTTGTATATTCTCAGTCGTGGGTCCCTCTAGTTGTGGTATGTGGCATGCCGCCTCAGCATGGCCCAATGAGCAGCGCCATGTCCGCGCCCAGGATTCGAACTGACAAAACCCTGGGCCATCTGCAGTGGAGCACGTGAACTTAACCACTCAGCCACTCAGCCACGGGGCCGGCCCCTATAATTATTATAATATCTTGATGTTGGTCAGCACTTTACTATTATTATTATCAATTGACACATCACAGCTAACATTTACTGAATACTTACCACATTCTGGAGATCGAACTCTTTCCCTAAATCATCCTATTTAACGTTCACAGGAACCCCGTGAGGTAGGAAGTTTATTAAATCCATTTTACAGAAGAGGAAAGTGAAGCTTAGAGGTATTCAGGAAGTTGCCTCATGTCACACAGCTAGTACTGAAACCAGATCTGATTCCAAAGTCCATGCTCTTAACCACTACGACTATGACTCATTGTCTCTCTCAAGTTCTCTCTGACCCTCCTCCCATTCTAGACTTCCTGTCTCCATGAAAGTACTGCACCTCATAGCCCTCATCTCTTTGGGGTACCTGACCAAGGAAACGTAAACAATTTCCAAGAAACAGCAGACAAGTGGAAACAGACATAGCACTTTATAAGAGAGTGCCCAGTAACTCCAAAAGCAAAGCTTCTCGGTAAGCAGAGCTGATATCAATTATGGAACCTGAACCTTCAGGCATGGATGTGGAGAGGGAGAGAGACATGGCTGGGGTCTAAGAAAGGCCCTGACGCTATGGACTTACCACATGGTAGCAGGCAACAAACGGAGGAAGCTTGCATCAGTCTGGACCTTGACCTAACTGCGGTCTAGCTTGCTAGTAAAATATGACACAATGATTAGGCTCTGACAACCACAACAGCAATGTTATTCTGCCCTTGAAAATCAACAGCTGGTGAGGATAGTGGGAGGCTGGGGGAGAAGTGTGCGACATGGGCTCTCCCTCCAATATTCTTCCTCATAGAGAGAGAGGGCAGATACATTCCTGAGTTTCTTCTAAGAGTCAAGGCTCAAGCAAGAGGGAAAAGGACGAACAATCCCCTCTCCCCAACTTACATTGTGATTAATTGCCTGTTTTCTGGCTCGTCTCCCCACTAGACTGGAAGCTCCTCGTGGGCAAGTGCCTGGTTTGCATAGCAGGTGCTCAACAAAAGTATGTTTTCTAAATTAGTGTTCCCTAAATGCCTATTTCTTATAGATAATTCATTATATTATTTAAGCACAAACTATTGCTAAAAAATGGTTCACAAAATTTTGCCTGGCTATACATTGCCTTGAAATATTCTTTTCACTATGATCTATCACATACACACATACATGTATAGTATATCTGCTTAACAAACTCACATTCTAGCACTACAGGATTAGAGTCTTGAAAAGTTGGCATCAGTCCAACTTTTGTATGAATCATTACAATTACACATTTTTTTTCTTCTTCTTCTCCCCAAAGCCTCCCAGTATAGTTGTATATTCCAGTTGTAGGTCCCTCTGGTTGTGCTGTGTGGGACGCCACCTCAGCATGGCTTGATGAGTGGTGTCACGTACGTGCCCAGGATCTGAACTGGCAAAACCCTGGGCCTCCAGAGCGGAGCACGTGAACTTAACCACTAGGCCACAGGGTCAGCCCCTACAAATTTTGAAGTAATAGAATCTTAGTTGCAAAGACTTTAGTATAATGTCATCCCTTTTCACCCCCACTACAAGTAAACCAATCTACGTAGTTTCAGTTACATCTATCTCAGACCCAATGGTAGGGAGATTCATGTTTGTTTAATGAATGATATGGATTTCATTTCAACATGTAACTCCAATCCAATAGGATCACATGATCTATAAATTAAACCAAGTTTAAAAATGCCAATTACTAACAATAAATAATGCTTTTCAAGAGTTTAATAAACATATAAAACATCTATCCCCAGTTATGAAACAACTTAACACTACAGATATGAAGATTTCATTTTTCTAGGCAGAGGTATATCCTGTATAAAAGAGCAAGCAGGACTGACATACCAGCGACTACAGCATTACTCTCATCTCTATTATCAGTCTCAACAGCACCGTAAGATTTCAGCAGCTCTTTCATCTTTTCGTCATCTGCTTCATCCAAAGCAGTCTTGCGTTTTTGATCCTTTTGATTAGGATTTGCTCCATGCTGTAGTAGAATCTCAGCTGCCTAGAATGGATTTTTCCAAAGTTATTTCTACAGACACTTAAAATCAATAATTTTTGCTTTCATTACAAGACAACATTACCAAGCATTAAAAGTTACCAAAAAGATTTCAAATTCTGGCCAAGAAAATTTTCATTAAATTTGATATAACTGTAAACTGACCCACTGATTTGGCCTGATCTGATCCCCTCACAGGAGAAGCAAACACGATGATGTGAAAGTATCAGCTATGCTGCTGTCATTGCAGTAAGAGGCAGACACAGGCATACCCATGTGCAGAAGGATTTACTCTCTCTTTAACAGAGCCCTGTGTCCCCCTAAAGCTGGAGGATGGGGTAGACAAGGGAGCAAGAATCACCTAGTTTATGTTATAAACTGTGTTATAAATGGCCATTAGAGTTGACTAAAGCTCTATTTGGACTATATTCCAGGAGCACTACTTGTTGAAGAGGTTTCATGAGCTAGCCTGGAAACCTAATGTCTATTCTAATAATGACTATGAAAACATGTTATGTGCCCTAAATAACTGACTTATATTCACAGAATGTTAATGAGAAAAGGAAACAGAAATAATCTACTCCAACTCTATCATCTTACAGAAGAGGAAACTGGTCAGACAGGCTGTGACATTTCTGGGGGGAAAAGCTTCTAATATAAATAAAGTTTCTCTGAATAACTCAAGGTTATGTATTAGAAGTTTGTAATTGATCAAAGTCAAAGATAGTTACTAACTGGTTTATGGTATAAGTCAATTATAGCTGCTTAACGACGTGGATATATTCTGAGAAATGTGTTGCTAGGAGATTTCCTTGTTGTGCAATCATCATACAGCGTGCTTACACAAACCTAGACGGTATGGCCTACTACACACCTAGGCTGTATGGTATAGCCTAACGCTCCCAAGCTGCAAACCTGGACAGCATGTTACTGCACTGAACGCTATGGGCAATTGTGACAAATGGTAACTAAACATATCTAAACCTAGAAAAGGTACAGTAAAAACACAGCATAAACGACTAAAACTGGTACACCTGTATAGGGCACGTCCCACGAATGGAGCTTGCAGGACTGTACGTTGCTCTGGGTGAGTCGGTGAGTGAGTGGTGAGTGAATGTGGAGGTCTAGGCAGTATGCACACTACTGTAGACTTTGTAAACACTGTACACTTAGGCTACATTAAATTTATTAAAAAGCATTTTTCTTTCTTCAATAATAAATTAACCATACCTTACTGTAACTTTTTTACTTTATAAATTTTTAAATTTTTTTAACTTTTTGACTCTTTCATAATAACATTTAGCTTAAAACACAAACACATTGTTTTAGCTGGAGAAAAATATTTTCTTTCTTTACATTCATATTCTATAAGCTGTTTTCTCTTTTTAAATTAAAAAATTTTTTTTTACTTTTTAAACTTTTTTGTTAAAAACTAATACACACGCAATTTATCCTAGGCCTCCACAGAGTCCAGATCCTGCATATCACTGTCTTCCACCTCCACATCATGTCCCACTGGAAGGTCTTCGGGGCAGTAACACACATGGAGCTGTCACCTCCTATGATAACGGTGCCTTCTTCTGGAACACCTCCTGAAGCTCTTCTTGAGGAGGCGACACTCTTTTCAGAAATCTGTCCATGGTGCTTTGCTTGCTTGGTTTCTTTCTTCCATCACAGATTTGCTTGTAAGCAGATAACGCACCATGAACATTCCTCTCTATTAATGAAAACCTTTCAGCGTTGAGGTCCAAGTTTTCAGATTTTTTTAAGGACCTTGTTGAGGTCTGAAAAAGCTTCTGCTAAACCCTTCACTGTGAATTTTCTTGGGGGTTCTTCTTTTTCTTCTCCTGCAGTTTCCTTTTCTCGTGCCTCTTTTTCAGCGATGCATTCCTGTTCCAATTCCAACAACTCCTCAGTAGTCCGTTCCTCAGGAACCACCGCTAGGAACCCCTCAGCGTCATCCTCATCCACATCCAGGGTAAGTTGTTTGCCATCTCAACCACAGCCTGGTTGATTTTTGCAACCTCCTCGTCCTTGGCAAATCCTCTGAAGTCACGGACGAACCTCTTGAGTGTCTTCTTCCATGTGCCATTCATTCACTCCTTGGTGACATCACCCCAAGCCCAGGCAGGGTTCTTGATGCAGCCGTAGATGTTGTAATCCTTCCAGAATTGCATCAGTATCTTCTCAGTTGAAGCAAAGCCTGGGTAAAGATCCTCCTTTTAAGGCCTATAAAAGGCTGCTGTAACTCCTTAATCTACTGGCCAGATCAAAGAGGTGGTGTTTGAAGGGAGAAATGCCACTTTGATACTGGGATGAAGATCACAAATAAAAGAAGGATGTCCAGGAGCATTATCAACAATAAGCAAAATCTTGAAAGGTATGTTATTCTCCAAACAGTACTTCTCCATTTCGCTGGCATAGCAGTTCAGGAGGGCTTCTTGGAAGAGGAGCTGGGTCATCCATGACTTCTTCTTGCTCCTGTAGTACACTGGCAGTGTGTGCCTACTGATATGCTTGAAGGACCTGGGGTCCTCCAAAGGGTTTCAGTTTGTAGCCTGCAACATTGCCCCCGAGTGAGACTGTTTATCCTGTCATTAAAAGCCTTGAAACCTGGCATTGACTTGGCCTCCATATGGATGAAAGTCCTTTCAGGCATCCATTTCCAGAACAGGGAGGTTTCATCCATATTGAATATTTGCTCTGGTAAGTAATTTTCCTCCACAATCAGCTTATCTAGAGTTTCCAAAAATCCTTCAGCTGCCTTCACATCAGCATTCATAGACTCACCGCTCACTTTCACATTATGCAGTAAGTAACGAATCTTGGATTGTTTAGACCACCCAGAGCTGGCAGTAAATTCACTGTAGCCAGGGTCAAGCCTCTTCTTTCAACATTGCAAACTAACCTTTTGCTTTTGCTGTGATCATCATGGTGCTGAAAGGGATAGCTTCCATGTCTGGTCTTCAATCCAGGTCATTACAAGTTTCCCCATGTCTGATGCAGCCTCTTCTCAAATTTTTGTTAGTCTTGCTGCCTTCGATGAAGCAGATCCTTTAACAGCTTCCATCACTTCTTCTTCCTCAAGATCACAGCTATAGTGGAACGGGACGTGCCTGACTGGCAAGCAGTAACCATCACTGATTTTCCACTTTCGTAGTCCTTAATCACTTTTAGTTTTGTTTCTAGTTGAATCACTTGATGTGGCCTCTTACTGGCAACACTAGCAGTGGATTTTGTAAGTTTAGGGGCCATGATGAACAAAACAACACAAGATTAAGTCAAGGACAAGAGAAAATAATGCAATCAAGAGATGTGGTAAACACAAGATGTGTGAGGCTGCTGCCTCTGTAACATGGCATACTGTTTTACAGTAGACTTTTTTAATAAGTAGAAAGAGTACACTCTAAAATAACAATAAAAAGTGTAACACAGTAAAACATAACTTACACCATATTAATAATGACTACTCTGCCTGTGTTAAAATGAGGCCTTCCTCTAGGTCTGGGCCTTTAATATATTAGCACGGATTCATTTAATATATTAGTCTGGAAGACACAGAGCACTCAGTTCAGAGGGAATGGCCCCTGAATAGCTGTTTTTCAGTAACACTCATCAACAGGAAAAAGTCTAAGAGAACAATAACAGAGTAAGAGGCAGCAAGGCACTAAAAAGGAAGGGCTAAGGCTGAAGTTGGAGAGAGTTCCAGGGAACACGAGGGGGCCGACCTGAGCAACAAAGAGCTTGGCAAAAATTAGGTGACCAAGAAATCGGCCGCTCACCTGTTTAAAGAAAGAAATCAGCCTTACTAAAGTAAGCACTAATACAATCATGACGTAAAATCAGTCCATCATCACAAAAAATACCTGTTACGCCTCTCTACAGTCAATCCCTTCCCACCACCCTTTGGCCCTTGGCAATCAGTGATCTGCTTCAATCACTATAAATTCTGTCTTTTGTAGACTTTCATATGAATGGAATCATGTGGTATATAGTCTTTTGCGTCTGGCTTCTTTGAATTAGCATGATGCTTTGAGATTCATCCATATTGTTGTGTGTATCAATAGTTTATTCCAGCTACTTGCTGGCTATGATGTCAATAGCGTTCTATCAGTGAATGGCAGTTAGACCCATTCTGCAATGTATGTAGACAAGTGTTAAAGGAGACTTGTCTTTTTGTCTCCTTTATGTCTCTGCATAACGATGATTTTAAGAAAAAAAGTTTGTTCCTTTTAACAAATTATTTATTCATTTACCAACTGATAGACATTTGGGTTCTTTCTAGCTACCAACTATAATGAACAAAACTGCTATGAACATTCAAGTATGAATATTTATGTAGACAAAGAAATCCTGATTTCTATCTCTCTGTTGAACCTCTCATTTTGTTCATATATTATTTTCCTGATTGTATTGAGTAGTCTGTGTTCTCTTGTAGACTGCTGAGGTTCCTTAAAACAATTATTTTTTTTCAATTCTTTGTCAGGCAATTCATAGATTTCCATTTCCATTTCTTTGGGGTCAGGGCTTGCTCCACACTTTTTGTTCCCTGTTGGTGGGGGACTTCCTAAGATTATATGCCTTCTCTTGGTCCCATAAAGCCAGGTGTCGAGAGCCTCTTGTTTGCTTTCTTTAGGGTGGGCCCCTGAAATCCTGCAGTCAGACCAGCTTCCTGTGTTGCCTACCAGCAGTCTGGAAAGGCTCACTCTCTCTGTTCACGGGGTGCACACTGAGTGTTACCGAGCACCTCAGTCATCTGGGTGAGGCAAGAAAGAAGTGGGCCTCCTGGGCAATGTCCCACATGGCTGGGGAAGCTGGGCACTCACAGCCCACACAGCTGGGGAACAGTACTCCACAATGATATAAAACTATCCCTAACTGATGAAAGTAGCTCACTGTGCTTAAACTGTCTACGCAAGCAATGTGGTTTATGGTTCTGGGAGTCTGGAATCCTGGTGTGTGCTAGGCAAAGGGTGCCTACCTGACAGCCCCCAGCATAAATCATGGGCACTGAATTTCTAATGCATTTCCTTGGGCAGAAACATCGCATGTATGTTGCTCTATTTTCATTGTGGGGGGACGAGGAAGCTCTGTGTGATCTCTTATGAGAAAGACAGCATAATAAAGCCTTCACACTGAAACCTCCAGACTCCACCTGTGTGCTTTTCTCTGATGATCCAGCTGTGGATCCTCACTACATTGCTATGATAAATCTTGGCCATGATTACAATTATATGCTGAGCTTTGCGAGTCCTTCTAACGAATTTCCAAATGTAAGGGTGGTGCTGAGGACCCCCTTACTTTCTTTGTTTTATATTACATTTTTCAGGATAATATCCAAAAACCTGATTTTCCCACAATGAAATTTTGGCCCTTATTTAAGTGGTTTCAATTCAGTGGCCTTTTCTCTGAACTAGCAAGTTCATCATTTTAATGATTCTTCCTGCTTGGTTTCTTCCATTTCATGATCATATAACCTTGTGACTTCATCTTTTTTTTTGGTGAGGAAGATTGGCCCTGAGCTACCATCTGTTGCCCATCTTCCTCTTTTTTTTTTTATCTCCCAAAAGCCCCCTAGTACATAATCGTATATCCTAGTTGTAGGTTATTCTAGTTCCTCTATGTGGGACGTCACCTCAGCATGGCCTGATGAGCAGTGCTAGGTTTGCGCCCAGGATCCAAACTGGCAAATCCAGGGTCGCCAAAGCAGAGTACACAAACTTAATCACTCGGTCACGGGGCCGGCCTCCTATTCCTTTCTAATTTAGGCATCTTAGAAGCCAAAAAGCTTCTCTGGCCAAAAGAAGCCACTCTGGCCATTAGCCTACCCCGCCTTGTATTATTCTTAATGATTAGTTTATACCTCTCATCTCTGCAATCCATAAATTCAATAATACTATTACTTTACATGACTACATTTAGGCTGAAAACGGTAGGGATATACTTTTTAAACAGAAATCATGAGGCTCTTAAAAATATAGAGAGGCAGATAAACAGGTGTTAGTAAGAGATCCAAGGAATTTTTTATATGAACCTTAGTTTTATACTGTTGCTGTTGGTGGTGGTTTCATGATTTTTCAAAATCAATAATTATTCCTGAAGTTTATATTGCCTACTGATAACAAAAAGTTTTCTCCTAAGTTTGTCAGACAAAAAGATGAGTTTAAAATCTGAAGAATTTTAAGGTTTAGATTTGATATTCAGGGTTACTGAAATAATGACCCTAGTAATTTCCTCTCATGATATTTTTACCACAGCTGCCTGAGTAAGAAAAACAAAGGCGAAAAAGACACAACAAACCTCCAGGAAACAAGCAACTTGTGTATTTACCCATTTCTTTGAAACCTCAAACCCACTGAGAAATTTTGAGTTAAAGAGTCTAGCTGTCACAAGTATCATCACTATAATTAGACTCTTTTATGCACAACAACAAATCACTTAAAACAATTAAAAATGGAATGTTTTAGATTTATAACCTGTGTCTACTCTGAGCTCTTTCGTTTTATTCTGACTTACATGAATTTTATGATGAAGACAATGAAAAAATGATTCATCAGGAAATATACTGATTTTCCAATCTATACACAGTATTTTATCTTCATTTGTCACTTTAAGCAGGTTTTAAAAATCATTCGTTTTAAGGAATCACTTTAGTTTTCAGCTTAAAATATCTTCATTTCCTTCACGTACTTTTCTAATTAAAAGTAAAAGGAACCTAATCTGGTATGCACTATACCTTTAAATGACTGTTTGCAACAGCATCATGTAAGGGCAGAATTCCATCTAGATTTTCACAATTAACATTAGCACCAGCTTTTAACAACTCTACAATTATATCATCACATCCCTCACCAGATGCCTCGTGAAGTGGTGTCCAACCTAAGAAAAAAAAAGAAATTTCTGCTTACAAATCAACATTCATGTAATATCTTCATTATTAAGTTTATTTGCACTAATGGAATTAATATCTATACTGATTCAAATGTATCTACTAAGTATCAGATAAGAAACAATATTGAAAACTTGGCATTAAATCCGTAAGTTTCATTTTTTAAAACAAATTGATCTCATCAAAAATATTTATTGATACAAGTGCCAAAACAGAAGACTCACAGAACATAAAATATAGTGGGACCGGAGTAAACAGTAATCATGTCAATTTGTTTCAACTCAGATATTAAAATAGGCTAAGATCACGTCTGACTTTCCTATTTCTATCTTTGCACATTTCTCTTTAAAATGACATTTGATTCAATCAATCTTTGAGTTTTCCCCCCTGAAATTCCTCACATAAGATTCTTCTGTGCTTGAGCAAAACGTTAGATCAATTTAAAAACGGAAGTTTAAAATAAAAATAAGGGAAGGGCGAAAAGAAGGAAGAGTATAAAGAGAGGAGCAAAGAGAAGAAGGGACCAGAAGTGGGAAAAATTTCACCTTCTCTCGCATGTTAGGTAGTGGAACTAAGGCCTCACTAAATAAGCTCCCCTTGGCTCCCTGTTCTGAGGACTCCCTTGGACACTCCCAAATTCTGTTAAAAACTATTTCGAAGGAGAAGGTTATTTTAGCAACTGGTGGGAACCAAGATAAATCTTACTATTCAACTAAATAATAATATACTGTATCGGGCTGGCCCCGAGGCTGAGTGGTTACGTTCACACACTCTGCTGTGGTGGCCCGGGGTTTCAGCAGTTTGGATCCTGGGTGTGGACATGGCACTGCTCGTGAAGACATGCTGAGGCAGCGTCCCACATGCCACAACTAGAGGGACCCACAACTGAAAACATGCAACTATGGGGGCTTTGGGGGGAAAAAGGAAAGATAAAATCTTTAAAAAAAAATTAACAGTAACAATAATATATTGTAAAAAAGATTGTTCAAAGTTAGCAGTTATAAATCAGCCAGGATCAAAACTGGGGGAGGGAGAGATGAAACATCTATTTCAGTGAGTTCAAATTATAAACACAATTAAAATTAAAAGAATCCAAACCTGCATTATCTTGCAGATTCACATCTGCTCCAGATTCTATTAGAGCTTTCACCAGAGACAAATTTCCTCTTCTGGCAGCCAAATGAAGCCGGCTTTCCCCTCTGGCATTCCTCTTATTGATCCCAGCTGTTTTCATTTCTGTAAATTTGCCAAGCAAAACTGAGGCTTCTTTTCTGCCAAATGCTGATTATTATAAAGGAGCTTAGAAAATACATAGCAACTTCCTCAAAATATCCTAAGTGGGTGCACTACACAGAAACATACATCAATTAATATTATCATTGCTGTTACTGTTTTAAAATATAACTTGTGAAGCAAATACAGGGCACCTAAGCATATTACTTCAAATTCACTTGAGCAGTTGTTTAGTCACTATCACACGCGGGACTGAAATAAACAAACTGGCCGCAGTTCCACACTCATCCTGCTCTCACTACTCCTTTAGCAATGGATAACATTTTTCTTAAAACAAACTGTGATTTTATAAAAATCTTTCCACAGCTATTCTCTACCTCAATGGGTGTATTCCTGATAAGATCCCAAGAACCAAACTACAGCCAATTATTGGGGTGTTTTTTTCATAAAAAATGCAGTACATCATTATGCAAAGGTACTTTTTTATCTTTTTCTTGCAACACAGGTTAGAGAGACCTAATTGGAGATAAAAATAGTGGACTGACCATGTTTGTTTGTTTGTTTTCCCCCCCATTTCTACTCAAAACCATGCTAAACTGATAATAAAATTTTTTTAAATACTATAAAAAGAAAATAGAAGGGGAAATAACATTAAGACAAAGACTTCAGCAAATTTTGGGGAATTGGAAAGTCCCAGATGGAGAAGAGTTAACTGATTTGGCAAAGTGGGGAATGCTCCAACCCAAGTGCCTGGAAAGGAATCATAGAGAAGAGAGCCCCTCTGACCCAGGCACTCAGCACTTGGGGCATCAGGCACCACGACACACCGTGTGCATGGAATAGGGCTGGAAACTGGGAGACTGACAAAGTACATGTATAGAAGAGCTGGGGCTCCGAGTTCCCGTCCCAACCCTGAATTGCCTGGCAGCCGTTCCTCTCACCCCAGGTCTCCATCCCCAAGCCAGGAACCTGGAGGTTTATTCTCTGTAGAAACTGTATTAGAGAAGCTTCAGACTGAGATGCAAGGCAACGCTGAGGATCAGGGTGAGGAAACTGAAAAGAATATCCATTAAACCAGCGGTTCTCAAAGTGTAGTCCCAGATTGGCAGTATCAGTGTCGCCCGGGAAACCTGTCAGAAATGTGAATTCTCCAACCCACCCCAAGCCTACTCTGGAGGGCAGACTTGAAGATGGTTCCAAATGCTCCTCTCCTCCTGGTGTTTAGGCCTTGTACAATCCCCTCCTCTTGAACAACTCGTTTTTTAACCAACAAAGCACCTCAACACCAAGGGTATTTCACTTGCTTGATTAGGTAACAAGAGATGGCAACATTTTCTATCTTGCTGGCAGACTTCTCTATCACCTTCAGCTTGCATGTCTGGATGAAGCGAGTAGCCATGTTGGAAAAGCCCACGCAGCAAGAAACTGAGGATGGCCACACGCCTTAAGGAACTGAATTCTGCCAACAACCACACAGGCGTGAAAGTGGATCCTTCCCTAGCTGAGCCTTCAGATGAGACCCCAGTCCTGGCCAACACTGTGATTGCAGCCTGTGAAAGATCCTGAGCAGAGGACCAGGCTAAGCTGTGCCCAATTCCTGACCTACAGAAACTATGAGATAATAAATACGTTGTTTTACACTACTAAGTTGGTGATAATTTGTTACGCACTAACAGATAACCAATACACACACTGATCCAGACTTTCTGAGGGCAGAGCCCAGCGCTCTGTTTTAACAAGCTTGCCAGGTGACTCTGATGAAGCTAAGCTTGGAGAACATAGGAGCCTTTCCCTGCCCTATTTCCTAAACGCTAGCAACCGGGCACAGAACTTCAGGGCAAGAGAAAAAGAACAGATAATTACTCTCTGAAAGACGGATCCTTTGGTTATATGAATCACAGGGAAGACTGCTGCCTCATGTCTATCTTCCACTGACATCCAGACAAAAACAAATTGCCCTTCAGAAATTTGCACTCAGAAACTCTTTACTAGAAGAATAAAGACATATTTTTTATATATATACATATAAAATAGATATGTATTTCACATTATATATCCATATATAGAGAATATATTTAAAATTTATAAAATATCTAAGATGGCATGCCTGCAGATCCCAAGTTTAAATTGAAAAATTCTCCCAATCACTGCTACCGTGCATGGCACAGATCCTCACAGCTTGTTCCTGGTGTGTTTGCAGCAAAGAAGGTAGGCAAGTGATAAACATTTTGGGGCAAAAACTCAAAAACTACTCAATGTTACTGTCATCATAAATTTCTACGTATTTAACTGAAATTTTAAAATGACAAAATCTGGGAGAAACTGGAAAGGAAATAACTAGTACTCATGGTAAACTCACCTGAAACTTCCCATAAAGTCCACTGTAGTTAAAGCTGAGTATTTCTTAGGAGCACTGTATTTTACTAATAATTTTTAATATTTAATATATTATTATTTATTAATAAAATAAAATGCTATTAGGAAATACTCAGCTTTCTGTTCCTTTGTATGTGAACTGTTTTTTCCTCTCTGGAACTCTGAGAATCTTCTCTTTAGCCCTGTTCAGAAATTTCACAGTTAGATGCTGTGCTCATTGTACTGGACACTTGGTGGACCCTTTCAGTGTGGAAACCCTTGACCTTCATTTCTCGCATTAATTCTTTGATGATGTTCTTCTCCTATTTTCACTATTCTCTCTGGATATTCTACAATGATCTTCCAATTTTATTATCTTTTCTCTCATTATTTACCAGTTTTTTATTTTTCTATTCTTTATAGGAGACTTAGCTTTACCTTCTAATCCTGCTATAGGTATCTATATATTTTAAAAATTAATGCTATTATATATTTTAACATTAAGTTCTGGATTGTTCTCTGATTGTCCCTTCTTTTCTATAAATTTTTTTTTTAAGTTTTAGATATTTCGTGATTCTTGCCTTGTTTGTGTTTCTTCTGGGTTCCTTTGGTCTGTTTAGATTGCTTTGACGTCTCTTTTCTATTGGGTTTTCCACAAATTTTGTTGATCTTTGGCTGTTTATATTTGAATGAAGAGAAACCAGAACACTGACTGGAAACCTGCACAGCTGACAGAGGGGGCTGTGGCAGTGCTCAGGGCCTGGCTGAATTCCCCACTGGATAAACAAGAGGCAAGCCAGCCTCAGGTTAGGAAATTATCAGATGGCAATATTTGGAATTCGTTCCTCTGGGGCAGTTCAATTTATTTATTAGTTTAATCAAGTAAATATTTATTCAGACACTGTGCTCTAGAAAACACAGAGGAAAAGACACTATCTCTGCCTCAAGGGGCTTACAGTCTAGTGGAATGACACACTTTATTAAGGGCATACAAAAAATTGCCTTAAAGTATGATGAAGTGCTGCTGGGGAGAGTATTAGTTTCCTGTGGCAGCTGTAACAAATCATCACAAACTGGGTGGCTCAGCACAACATAAACGTATTATCTCCCAGTCTGGAGACCAGCAGTGCAAAGCCCAGGTGTCAGCAGGGCTGCACTCCCTCTGCGAGCTCTAAGGGAGCCCTTCCTTGCCTCTTCCAGTTCCCGATGGATAGCAGCATTCCTCTGCTTTCTTGGTTTTTGGCCACACCACTCCTTTGTCTCCATCTTGACATCTTCTCCTCCTCTCCTGTGTGTCTCAAATCTCCCTCTGTCTTTCTTTTATAAGGACACTTGTCATTAAATATAGGGCCCATCCAGATTATGCAGGATGATCTCTTTATCTCAAGATCCTTAACTTAATTACATCTGCTAAGACTCTCCTTCTACAGACAGTAATATTCACTCTTCTATGTAAGACAGTATCACAAGTCCCAGGGATTACGACACGGCCACCATTCAACCCACCACAGGAGGTGTGTGTGAGAAAGGCTGCAGTGTACACAAGGACGACAACGGAGAAGGCCCAAACCACTGTCCTTCCTACCTCTTACTAGACAGTAGATACATCAACCCACCACAGGAGGTGTGTGTGAGAAAGGCTTCAGTGTACACAAGGAGGACAACGGAGAAGGCCCAAACCACTGTCCTTCCCACCTCTTACTAGGCAGTAGATAAATCAACGTTTCAGTGTTTAACATTTAACTTGAAGTGTCTAGCCTATTGTTCACCACAGAACTAGCTCCAAGAACTATCAAGGAATGGCTGACTTGTCCATATTGCCAAACATACACAGTTCATTCATCTCACACAAGGAAAGTAGCAGCTATGCATCTCTAACCACCCTCATGTTAAAAAGGTTCAGCGGGGTCTAAGGGATCTGACTCAGCTCGCCCTGCTGCCTCCTCTCAACATCTCTGCTGTCTCTGGTGTTTATCCCACCTCCTCTAATAGAACAAACTAGAAGTTACAGGCAGAAAAATAACAAGAGAATAACTGAAAACTAATAAATTCTCAAGTGGTGCTTTACAGTAAAACCATCCGACAAATATAGCTGAAATAATCTTAGTGAATGGCGAAAAAAATAAACAGCAAATCTGAAAGTTTCACAATTCGCTGTAGTAGAGTGGATTGCTGGGCCTGATGACATGAACTTTTACTACACAAGTACACAAATACGAACCTTGGCTGCAGGTAGCTTTCGAGAAACTTTGTCTTTTTCTGAAATTCCGAACTTTTTTGTGTTCTTGGATATTCATACGCATGTAAATTTCTGAATCTGCCTTCTCTTTTTTCTCCTCACAACTTCTTACAGTGCTTCTGTCTCCGTTGATATTATTAGTTAACTCCTCATCTGAAAAACAAACATTTTGAAGTTATCAGTGTTGTAGTTCTCTTTGCTGGTTACACAGCTAGAAGAGAGCCCAGGCATGTAACTATTCCAAGTTTCTGTTACAAGCTGGACCTGTTTTGTTCTGTAAGGAAACAGAAGGCTTTAAAAATATTTTTACATAATAAAGTGTCCTGGATGCAATTCTGATGGGAATATAGCGAACTGTTGACATCAGTGGAGATAACAATTTCTTGCTGTGAAAATGTTGTTAGGTTTCCTGATACTAAATAAGTGCTATATTAAAAAGAAACAAAAATTGATACAAACACTGTTTCCTAACTTCTGTAAACATCAATTGAGCAACCATCTTTGATAACAATGGTTTGACTTTCAAAGTCAACACTATTACTTAACTAATTAGCAGTATCCCCAGATCATAGCCTGCACCTCCTCATCTTGTCAGTTTGGGCGTAGGTTGAGCGGAATTCAGTCAGAAATTTCTATAAAATAAGTAAATCTATAGGAAACGTGTACAAATCGAGCAGTACGACCAATACCTGGTTTGTGAGAAATTTCCTTCTCTTCTCTTTGACTAAGTTGTGAGATGCCGGACAATTCTTTGTTCATATTGTCACTGGAATGAACATCTATATTATGCACGGTTTTGCTCTCTAGAAGGTCTTGTCTCTTCTTTTCAACTGTAGATGTTTCTATTACTTGAGAATGAACAACTGTGGACAAAGGCTCATTTGAGGAACTTGTTTTTTGGGCTTTGTCAGTGTAACTCCTTTCAGTGTCTTCTTTCTGATTCACCTTTCCCACAGGACATGTATCTATTTCCTTTGTTACAGGACTTGGTGCGCTGGGGCTACGATCCTGAGGCCTTCTGAAAAGCTCCACATGGCTAGTCAACTTCGAACCTTCATGTGTTGAAAGTGTTCTTGTACAAGCCAGGGAAGAATGCTCAGGATTGCCACATGAGCGATCAAAAGAAGTTCCATATATGCACTGCTCATAATTTGAAACATGTTCAGAAACTATTATATTATCTGAATCAGAAAAATTAACAGCTTCCTGTTGTGGAAGTACAGTTAGGCTGCCTGCTTTTAACTCACATTCTTGTGAAAAATGCTCTTCAGAGGGCAAAAATTGTTGAAAATCCTCTTCTTTATTTTTTATATTCTCTTTATAATTATAGTGGTTTTTCCAATCTGTAGAACATATCACCTTTTCAGATGTCACAGTCTTCTCAGAGGTACAGCACTCATCATCATCATCATTATTAAAACTTCTCTTTACAAAAGATAGGAAAGAATTTTCCCACTTATTAAGGGTCTCATCTTTTTGACCTGAGTTACTGTTTTCAGGAGATTTATAAGGGCTAACGCACTGTTGTTCTTGGTGAGTATATGGCTGATCTGCAGTAACGAGTGGTAACTTGATTTCTTTATGTAAAGAAAAATCTGAGGAAGAAACAGCTTCAGCTTGGTCAATGGATTCTAATTCAAAGAATTTGATTTCTTGATTACCTGATAAATCCAGGCTCTGGGAATGTGTCTCTTTGGAAACTGAACAAGCCTCGATATTGCTACCTAATCCACTTTTCAGGCTTGACAGAGCTGGGCTGGAAAGTTTACATGACTCTTCTGGAAGGTCATCAAGGGTTTGGAGAATATGCTGCTGCTGAGCAACCAATTTGTTTATTCTTCTGGAAGAAGAGACAGCTACTGTCTTTCTTGGATTGCTTTCTTGGATTGCATCATCCACTTGAGTCCTTTTGTGTCGTGTGTTTCTTCCTCCTTTATCTTTAGACACATTTGTGCTGGGAGCTGTGACATTATGGAGATTGTCCTTTCTAAGTCCTGTAGAGTACATTTGGTTAACAGTTGATTGCTTATTCTTGGATTTACCAAATTTCGTGCTTTTGGAATCTTTTTGGTAATGTTCATATACATCTTCTTTATTTACAAACAAAACTTCTTTGCTTCTTTCATCAACTTTTACATGTTCTGGCTTCTGTCTGTTGGAATTTTCATCACAACCAAACCCAACACAATTTTTGGAATTGAGTTTCGGTTTCTATAGAAACAAAACATACAGTTAGCTTTGATTTTCAGCTGCAGTTCTACATTCGATTCATTCTAATCAAACATCATTCCACTCACTTTTACAATTTGATGTAACCACAGGGCCCGCTAGGGTATGTACAACCTGATATTTCAGAAAAGTAGATTAATAGAAGAAAGGCAAATGTAATGGACTCAGGCTCAGTATGTGTACTAACCTTTATTTTCTGCTATACATTTTAATTTCTTTTTGTTAGTATTTTAGCACTAATAATCTTACTAAACATAATAATAGTTTTTAATCTATTTAATTTTTATAGACTTTTAAAATAATCAGACAAAAATGCTTTTTTTTCTTACTCTCCTCTCCTGGTTGTTATATAGACAAAGTAGAATTAAGAGAGTTTCTTCCTCTGGTATCCATGAGAGACTATAGGTAGGGCAGCAGAAGAAGGAATTTAAAAACAAGAAGACAGACATGCTCCCAAGTCGGTCTGTATGGAAAGATTATTGTGAGCTGCTCAGATTAAAATAGGGACACGGCTTCCTCTCACTCACCACAACCCCAGCACCAGATGCACAGTAACTGCCCACCATGTGAACTTTAAAGGAATGCACTGACACCTCTGGCTCTTGCAATGTGCTTAAGCCAGAGGAAATTCGACATGGTTGATAAATCTCACGGCTCCACGAAGAGGAGGAGAAAGGAAATGGCTACCAATACGTTAGTGGGCCCAGATCCGCTACATTTACTCAATTGCTTCCCAAACTAACAGCCCAGAACCCTCTGATGCTCATGTAATTATTCCAAAGTGTCTTAAAAGCAAGGATGAAGTCACTGTTCCTAATGAATGCTTTAGCAGTCTTTCTCTCCCCCCGATGAGCTATAAAATGACCAGCAGGTGCATTCTATAAAAATGCTATTGCTACACAGATATACCTTGTGCTGGTGTACATCCTCTACATCTAATGTGTCACTGCTATCCTTGTGAGCTGTAAACAAAAAGAGAAAATCAGCCTCGAGCAGTCAGACACATGTCCTTTGCCGTGAGAAAACCAAGTGGAATAAGTGAAATTATGCAAACATTTTCTATTAAAATTGGCATACATAACATTCCTATAATTTATAATTTCCATATTTATTAGAAACTAAATACTATCTTGAGAGGACTGAAAACATTTCTGTAGGACAAGCAAAACAGAGGCAACAAAATACTACTAGAGATGGACACGTAACTCAGTATTTTTTACATTCTGCACAGATACACTTAGATATGCGTTTGCAAGCTATTACTACAAGGCAAAAAATTCTTTCACAATTCATTGTATTACAATCATTTCCTAATATGTCTGCTTAATAAGGTTCTAGCCTGAATGCTGCATAGTCTTAAAAGTGAAACTTACATGCATGGAAAAGGCCCATCTTGAGGATACATAGGGAAAAAAGATGGTTTGAAAAAAATATACCTAGGTTGATAATAAAAGTCCTTTAGTGTCTCTTTTAGTGCCTCCTTTAAATACTAAAGGTGGAATTACAGTTACCTATATATGCATTTGGCCACAACAGATAAAAACCTAGAAATAGGGGCTTGCACATAGCAGGTATTCAATGAATATTTGATAGAGGAAGGAATAAATGAATGAATAACTTAGATGTGATATGTAAAGAATACAAATTCCCATAAATATGAGATACAAATGTAATAATTTTTTTTTTAAGATTTTTTAAAAAAATGTTTTCCTTTTTCTCCCCAAAGCCCCCTGGTACATAGTTGTATATTCTTCGTTGTGGGTTCTTCTAGTTGTGGTATGTGGGACGCTGCCTCAGCATGGTTTGATGAGCAGTGCCATGTCCGCGCCCAGGATTCGAACCAATGAAACATTGGGCCGCCTGCAGCGGAGTGTGCAAACTTAACAACTCGGCCATGGGGCCAGCCCCAAAATGTAATAATATTTTGACAAGGCTGTAATTTGAAAAAAGAGCAACTTTTAAATTATTTCTTAGGAATAATTTTTGTGACAGCAAACATTTTACAATACACATAACAAGGCTTGGCATTCACCCAGTCACCTCCCTCACACAAGGCAGGCACACAGAATGGTCTTCAATCCAGCAAGGGGGCTGGGAGCACAGTCTCTGGAACCTCAATCCTGAGTTTGAATCTTGACTCATCTGCTTACCAGCTGGGCAACCCTGGGAAAGTTTCTTACTGTCTCTGCCTCAGCTCCATGAAATGAAGGTAGTGCTGTGAATTGTTATGAAGATTAAATGAGATAACCCTTCTAAAGAGTTTAGAGGAATTCCTGGCACACAGAAAGTGCTCCGTTATTATTTTTGTTAGTACTATTTTTCAAGAGCAGAAAGGACTCTGTGCCTTCTCCTAACTTTGGTTTTTAAATAAAAAAGAAGAAAAATATTTTCCAAGAGAACCATGGTTCCTAAGAAAATCTAGAAGCAAGAAAAGGGGCTTTTATTTCCTCTCAGTTTTAAGACTCTACATGCTCTAGTGTCACCAACTTAAAAAAAAAAAAAAGTACACAGATATAAGTTCTAAGGTGGTAAATTTTGGTGATATACCTGTATTCTTTCCACCCTGTCACTCTGAGCTCCTGTCCTGTGCCAGGAACTGTGCTGAGGTATTTCACATAGATTAACTCCAATCCTCACACTAACAAGTCCACAGACATGTAGGTAGAAGAGTAGATATTATAAGCCCAAATTGACAGATGAGAAAACTGAGGATGTTAACATACCCACGGTTATAAAATTAGTAAGAACAAGCTCTTGTCCTACACCAAAGTGGATGTATTTTATTCTAAGATAGAAAAGCAACAAATACATTTTGCATGAGGAAGGTTCTTTATCCATCATTCTCATGATTAAAATCTCTTCAACTGGAATTTAAAAGTGAATACCCTGTTTGTATAAGTGTACAGACATTCTTTAAGAAACTAATTTTGCATTTATGTTGATAAGTAGGCCAGTAATTAATGACAGAATTGGAAAGTTCAAACTTAAGAAATACTCAAACGATTTGGTGAAGGATGATAATACAGCCCAGCTTTGGTAAATCCCCTCACAAGAGAAGAAGGGGAGCCAAGTCCTAAGAAGAAAGGCTTGGGATTCCTTACTACTAATGAAATACCCTCGGGGAGGTAGAGGTCAGAAGTGGGCACTGGTGAACGAGGGATTCTGGATTTGGAGAAAGGCTGAGAATGCTAAAGGAAGCGCTCCCAGAACAGCAAAACAATGCATGCCACCATAAAACGGAGAAGTCAGCAACCAAGCAGATTATTAAAGCAAAAGTTCAAAAATAAAAATATACATACTTTTGCCTCCAACTGGATATTTGCTATTTTTCATACAGCTTGAAATGTAAACACGAGCGTTTTAATCATCTATCTCAACTTGCTTTATAGATCTGGCCTCAACATGGCACAGTCTGTCCCTCTTATTTTCCAGTGTGACTGAGCTACTGGGGAAGAAGTCTTTTGCTCTAAAGAACCATTCATTAACTGACTGTTGGTGGCCTTTAATTATCAATGAAGTTATCTTTACTATAAAAGTAGGGTGTTTTGATCCAGGTCTTAGTCCTTAGTCAATGGCATTCAAACAATTACCTCTGGAGGAAAATTTTATTAAAATATAGTTTAATAAAAGTGAACAAAGCACACATCTTTTGAATGGAAAAATGGTTTGTTTTGTTCAAAGGACTGACATTATTTATTCAACAAACATTTACTGAATTTCTACTATGTACAAGGCACTTTAGTATTCATCACTAGACAAAACAAAGTTCTTTTCCTTCATGGAGCTTAGATTCTGCAGGGTGAAGACTGAAAATAAAAATAAGCAGATCACCTAAAGTGTTAGAGAGTGTTAAGTGCCATGGGAAAAGGATAAGTAGAGAAGGGTAAGAGTGACTGGAGTGAGAGTGGTGGCTCCACAAATACGTTCATAAATTTTTTTATACTCCTCCTTTTAAGAGGTGGAGCTTACTTCTGCTTCCCTTGAATATGGGCCAGACTTAGTGACTCACTTCTAACAAAGAGAATATGGCAGAAGTGATGGTATAACACTTCCAGGATTAGGTTATAAAAAAACTGGCTTTTGTCTTGGTCGCAGTCTCTCTCTCGGGTCACTTGCTCTGAGCCAGCTGCCAGGTTGTCAGCAGGCCTGGAGAAGTTCGTGTGGCAAGTAATTGAAGGCTCCAGCAGACAAGCAAGGAACTGCCACCTGCCAATAACCATGTGGTGAGCTTGAGAGTGGACTTTCTGCCCTGGCTGAACCCGGAGATGACCAGAGCTCTCACTGATGGCCTGACTGCAACCGGTGAGAGACCCTGACCCAGAACCACTCAGCCAAACTGCTCCTAGATTCCTAGCCCTCAGAAACGATGACAGATAACAAATGTCTGTTGTTTTAAGATGCTAAGTTTGCAGGTAATTGTTACATAGTGAGAGAAAACTAATACAGTGAGGACGGGAAGCAGGCAGATTGTCGTATTAAATAGGGTAGTCTAGGCCTCATTGAGAAGGTGACATTTGAACTAAGACTTGAAGGAGATGGGGGAGGCACATCTGAGGAGCAGCAAGGAGGCCAGTGTGACTGAAGTCAAGCAATGGAGGTAGAAAGTAGTAGGAGAAGAGGTTAACTGGTAGACTGGCCAGCTGATACAGGGGCCTTTAGGCCACTTTAAGAATACTGGCATTTCTTCTAGGTTAAATGAGAGCCATTGCAGGGTTTTGAGCAGAGTGATGTTGTGACTGTACCAAAAAATCTAACAAATGAAAGGAGAGTATCAACAATGTGCCATGTAATTAAATTATTCTTAAATAACCTTTTTATTGACAACTGCAGATCAAGTTCTTTCGTAGTTCAATTTAACACTGTAATGGATGACACGGCAAAGTATAGCCATAAGCAAAGATTTTTAGGGAATGGAGATAAACAATCATAGCCATATTCACTGAAAAGGATACAGCCAAACATAATTTACATCACATCATTTATTCAGTCAAAGGATTATAGGGAAATAACCAGAACTGCATAAAAGTTTCTTAACTGTTTACAGTGTATAACCTGGGGAAAAGAACATATGATATTACCTTCCTTTGTTTTCTTAGAGTCCTTCCATGATGTGCATTTGCAAACAAGTCCGTGTGCTTTATTAAAGGAAGGGAGCAAGGACACTATTGAACGGATTTTCTCAAAACTTATGAGAAAAATAAATTTAATATCTATAATTCTAAATTCAATTTCTTTAACTCTCTACTGGCATGAGGAAGAGATATAACAGGGTAGTTTAATCCTACCTGATATAAGATGTTTTTGATGTTTGGGAATGTATCTCTCAAGGAGACGCTGCATATGTGAATCTTTGGCTTCATCCAAAGCACACTTTCCGCTGTCACTTCTAAATAATGGATCAGCTCCATTCAAAAGAAGTAACTCTGCCACCTAGAGGAAGATTGTTCATGTGAGGGAGCCCAGACAAAAGGTCTATTATTGTAAATGTGTGCTAACATACAACTCTAAGCAACATCCAATATTTCTTTCAACAGTACAGAGTTTGGGTGTACTTGAAACATCTTTGCCTAATAAAAAAATTAATATAATTGCTACTGAATCATAATTTGTTGATATACGCATCCTTTCTTTTAACAAAAAAAGAAGTTTGTAGTTCAGCTGCTGCTGAAATGGGGCCAACAGATACACCAGGAATTAGGACTGGGATCTGTAGTAGTAAACGTAATTTTAACAGGTTCCAGTTATGTCTTCCACATACATATACCTGTGTTGCTGCTGCTCCTCTTCAGAACGTCAGAGAGAAAGTGGTCATCCTTAATCTGTGACTACTCCTCAGGGAGCCTCCTCTGTGCTGCTCCCCCTGACCTCCTTACCCTCTGCTGCCCTAGAGAAAAACAACGTCTCCCTTCCTTCATGTATATATTTCATCATAGTGTCCAATGTATGCTATATTATACTTATTTTTTATACATCTGCCTCTCCTGTACCCTAAGTTTTTTGAGGGTGGTTCTTTTAAAATTAATTTATTATTTTTGAATAAGAAATTAAGGAACTTTGAATGGGAAACTAATGAATACAGAAGGCTCAGAAAAATTTACAATGAAATGTAAGTTTCGCTCCTCTACCCCTGTCCTCCATTCATCTGATTATTTTTTCCTAAGTCAGCCTGGTTACAGTTTCTTCTGAGTTTTTCCAGAGTTAGTTTAGTCTAACAGGTATATATTTACGCATAACATATAACATATATGTTTTATCTTACACAAGTTTAAAACATACTTAAGAGATATAGCAAACATATCTAACGTATGAACTTTGATGGATCCTGATTCAAACAAAAACTTGCTATAAAAACACATTTTTAAGATAACCTGATAAATTTGAATATGCGATGGGTATTAAGTGGTATTAAGAAACTGTTAATTTTTATTAGGTGAGACGATATTGTAGGTGTGAAAAAAATGTCCTTATCTCTTAGAAATGTAGGCTCAATGTTATGGGTAAAAGGGCATCATGTCTGGGATTCTTAAAAATACTCCTAACAACAACAAAATACAGTCCCTGTGCCAGCCTGTGGAGGTTGTCTGACTCCATAGCGTAACAGAATACAGAACCAAACTTCAGACACACATGGAATAGATAACCACCACGTCTGAGGAATATTTTTTAAATATATGTGAATCCCAATAACACTGTCAGCTAACCTCCAATTCAACATCTTATGTACTCATACACCACAGGACACTTCATCAAATAAAAGCTCTGTTAAAATCATGATAGGTTACATCAACTCGTCATGCCATTTCCTTCACCTGCTAACAAAGGAAGCCTAATAACAAAGGAATCAAGGTTAGTCTGACACAACTTGTTCTCAGAGATGCCGACAGATTCTCAAAGATCACTACATTCTTGCCTAAATGTCTCCCACCATGTGTTTAATAATTTGTTCTAGATTTTTCTAAGGAACCACACTGAGTTGATCATCTGTAATTCTCAAATTCCACCTTTTCCACATTAAAAAATAGATTTTTGACAGTTTTATTAATATAATTCACATGCCACACAATTCACCCATTAAAGAATATAATTCAATGTTTTTTAGTATATTAAGAGGGTTGTGCAACTATAACCAGAATCTAATTCTGGAACATTTTCATTCCACTTAAAAGAAACCTTGGGGCCCGCCCGGTGGCACAGCAGTTAAGTGCGCACACTCCACTTTGGTGGCCCGGGGTTCACCGGTTCGGATCCCAGGTGCGGTCATCACACTGCTCAGAAGGCCATGCTATGGGAGGCATCCCACATATAAAGCAGAGGAAGATGGGCACAGATGTTAGCTCAGGGCCAGTCTTCCTCAGCAAAAAGAGGAGGATTGGCAGCAGATGTTAGCTCAGGGCTAATCTTCCTCAATAAACAAATAAATTAATTAATAAAATAAAATAAAATAAACCCTTTACCCATTATCTGTCACTCCTTATTACCTAGCCTCTATCTCCTACTCCTAATCTTCTTTGTCTCTACAGATTTTTGAACTACTATAGATATTTTATATAAATGAAATCACACAAGTTTCTTAAGTGCTTTTTCATTTTTTTAAAAAATAGGCTATTATCTTTTAGTCTTCCTATCTTTAAGTATCTTTCCAATATAACAATCAATGCCTGTAAGATAATATACACAAGTTCCTTCACTCTGGAATGTTTAACTAGCACCTACTCTCCAGGTGGTGGGTCCAGCATCAGGTTCCCAGGGCTTCCCTGTCTGACATCTTTAGTCCTGTGACATCTAAGGCACAGGGGCAATCCAATAGCCAGGGTCTAGGCCATTTTCATGACCATCTTTGTCTCACCTAAGAGACAACCCGAGGTAAGCCTAAATCCTCACCTGATGCTCCCACCGTTCCGACTCTGCCCTCCAAAACAATGTCCCGTCCCACTTTGGCTCCCAGGGCTTTGGTTCTTAAGTAGCCCAGAACTGACGTGGAGTCTTACAAATTTCTCTTGGACTGGGTGAAGTAACTTGTTGGCTCCCCTCCCTTCCCCCAGCTAAAAAGAAGGGGAAGGGAACAAAGAAGACAGACTGTCAATGGATTTCAGCTTTTAATTCTCATGACCATTCTCTAGACTTCCACTCCTGTCTCATCATTCTCTTTTCTCCTGCCATCAGTCAGGATGTGCCACAGTGCCAGCAGCACAGGAGTCATAGAAAGACAGGGGTTGGGGAGAGGGAGGTAAGTAGTGAGGAAACAAGATTCTGGAGTTAGAGGCCTGGATCTCTGGTCCCTTTTACTTCACTGAGGTAGCAAGAGAACGTGACATATGTGCAAAGCCAGATAGGAGACAGCCAGTTCTAGCCTGTGAGGCAGAAATTAATTGGAGCCAAGTTACCTGGTGGGGCAAAGGAAGGACTGAGAAAGAAAAGAAGAAAAATTAAAGTGCTCAGGGCTCACAGAGCCCAAAGGGAGAAAAGCCTCTTGACCAGGAGAGGACAGCCCTGCTGAGTTGGAGAGCTGATGGGTCATGGGGAGAGGGAAGATGGCATGATGTTTCTCTGCTGGAGGCCAGCTTTGAAGAGAGGGTAAAGGACAGAGGGCGGGCTCACATCATCACTTGTCCAAGCCTGCATTCTTCTGGCCATTAAATTAAGTTGCAGGCAGAATTCCCTCTCCCAGCCCTCTGCACAACGTGCAGCGATAACCACCTACTACTACCAGATGATACATTATCAAAAAAAAAGCAAAACTGCCTAAACCCTCCTGAAGTACTATTCCACGCTAGGAAGGCATCTGCCCTATTTGTCTACGTCCATGGCTCCTGGCAGCCTTCCCCAGCTCTACCTGTGTTAGGAATTTCTTCTGGAAGTATGCAGAAAAGATCTTCCTTAGCCCAGCTGAGCCCTTTCCTACCCTAGGAATTTTAAACCCAGAAACAACTTCCAATACCTGAATAGCAAGACATTTTCAGCAAGTGCTCCAGAACCATAATGCAGTGCCTGGATGAGAAAAATGTCTAAAAAGCTCAGAGTTTATGTGGTTTCTGAGATTAAACCATGTGTGCTGGAATTCATAATCTTAATTAATATTACCATTATTGCAGTTACTATTAACCAATTCATAAACAATTAGAGTATTCTGATATTTTAACATTGGTATATCTGTGCTGGTGCATACTGGCTGGCCATTAAACCTGGGTCATGGCTTATGCTGACTCTCAAAGTGACACTAGACTCCATAAAGCTGTGAGCCTGCTATCAGGACTGGGCATCATTGTGTCACATTCTATAAGAAGGAAACATTCTCCTAAAGTCTATAAAGCCCCATACGAAGAGAGTCCTAAACAAGTGCAAGTTTAAAAAACACTAAAACAGGTTCTGTAGTTGTTAAAAGTAACATGTAAAATGGCACCTACCATATCAGGCACAACAAATCCATCACACAGGAAAATTTTATAAAATCTGAGTGTTGATTAGCAGAATGAACAGAAACTGAAGTTCTATCTGCTTTTCTATTGCTTGGTCCCAGAGATCTGTAATACTTGCAGAACGTAGTGTTTGCTCTACAAACAAAAGAATCACAGTACCTTATAATGTCCGTTCATCACAGCATCATGTAGGGGAGTGATCTGGTACATGCCTTTGATATTCACATCTGCTCCACCTTTCAAGAGTTCACTTGCTATTTGATATAACCCTCCCACACTAGCTTCATGAAGTGCTGTCCAACCTATTATACAAAAAGGAATTGGTATTTGTTTACATTTGGCTTCTTAATAATGTTTTGTGCTTGCCCTTAAAGTAAAAACTCTAAGTTGTTTCTTTAAAAATATTCTGATTACATGAAACAAGATAATCTTACCATGAAAGTAATCTGTATTATTTGGTAGATTCAACAAATTTGAGAGACAAACCAAGTTCTTATCCCTGACTCTGTTGCGGAAAAATATGAACAGTAGTAAAATATTTGAAACTATTCCTATCCCCTCAAATAAAAAGGCTGAAAGGGGATCATTATTAGGTCACAGAGAATGCTGATTGTGGGCTACTTTTCTGCAGAAAAGAGAGGATAAAAGCTTTACTTGTAACTCAAGGTATTTCCATTAAAATAACCCAACTGGTAGAACTACATAAAAGTCAGTTCAAAAGTATGTATTTCTTTCTCCTTATTTGCAAAAAGCTATTTACTAACTATTCAACTAACAAACCACAAGCTACTCCAAGAAAAGCAATCATCCAGTTAAATATTTATTTCTTTGTTAGCCAGAAAAAATGGTATGAGTTATAGATATCTATTAAATTCCAGTAAATCATATGTTGATGTAAGAAAACTTAAAAGTATGCTAAAAGTGTATTTCACTAACTTTTTCCAGAACCTTCTCTATAACTCGGGGTTTCTCAATCTTTGCACTAACACTTTGGGTTGGATAACTCTTTGCTGTTCTGAGCACTGTAGGACGTTCAGTAGCATCCCTGGCCTTAATCCAGCAGATGCGAGCAGCACCCCTCACACATCCCAGGCATAACAACTAAAAATGTTCCCAGAAACTGCCAAATGTCCTCTGCGAGGCAAAATCACCCAAGGTAAGAACCACTGCCACAAAATGTTATAGAAGGAGTTTCTCCTATAATATTAATTAGAAATCCTTGAGGAAGAAATGAAGAGCACCAAAAATGGTAAATATACAGTTTAACAGAGTTTTTTTTCCCATAAATTTCCTTAAAATGCATATAGCTGTTAAAACAAAAATTACAACATTATGTTTTGGGATTTATAATGTATATAATATATCTGACAGCTGTAGCACAAAGGATAAGAGAGATATGTTCAATGTTCGTATATTTTCTGTGAAGTATTACAATAGTAACTCTAAGGAGACTATGAAACATTAAAGATATATATTATAATGTCTATAGTAACCACTACAAAATAATGCAAAGACAAAGAAAGTAACAATAAAACAGATGAAGCACACAAGAAACAATTAGTAAAATGGCAGTCCTAAATCCAACCATTTATATTAAATAAAAATTGACTAATCACCCCAATTAAAAGACAGAGATTATCAAAATGGATAAAAAAGCAAAACTGTACACTGTCTACAAAAAATACATTTTATATATAGACATAGGTTGAAAATTAAAAAAATGGAAAAAGATTTAGCAAATAGACAAGATACAAAAGAAGACTAGGATGTCTACATTAACATCATATATAGTAGACTTCCAGATAAGGTGTACTACCAGAGATGAATAGAGATATTTCATAATGACAAAAAAGTCAATTTATCAGAAGACACGACAATTACAACTGTGTATGTACTTAATAACAGAGCTTCAAAATACAAGCAGCAAAAACTGACAGAATTAAAGGGAGAAACAGACAACTGAATAATCATAGTTGTGATGATTTCAATTCCCTCTCAGGAAATGACAGATCAAATAAACAAAAAATCAGTAAAGACAGAGATGATCTGAACATTATCAACCACCCTCATCTGACTGACATTTACAGAACACTACACACAACAACTGAAGAATAAACATTCAACTGCACAAGGGATATTTACCAAGAAAGACCATATACCAGGCAATAAACTAATTCTCAATAAATGGAAAGGATCAAATTGATAGAAAGTATATCCTTTGACCACAACGGAACTAAATTAGAAATCAATAACAGAAAGATATCTGGAGAATCCCCAAATATTTAAAAATTAAATAACTTATAATATAATTGGGGTCAAGGAAGGAATCATACAAGAAATTTAAAATATTTCAAACTGAATGTTAATGAAAATACATCAAAATCTGTGGGATGCAGCAAAAGCAATATTTAGAGGGAAATTTACAGCTTTAAATGCTTACAGTAGGGAAGAAGGTACAAAAATCTGTGACTTCATTTTCAACCTTAAGAAGCTATAAAAAGAACAAAGAAAACCAAAAATAAGTAGAAGTCAGAAGAGTAGAAATTAACAAAATATAAAACAGATAGAGAAAATTCTAAAAGCCAGGAGTTAGTTCTTTGAAATAAAAAAAAATCAATAAAATTGATAATCCTGTAGCTTAAACTAGCTCAGGAATGAAGGAAGAAAAAAAGAAGAAGGAAGGAAGGGTGCTATATCAGGAATGAAAGATAAAATCCCCAAAGATCTGCAGACATTAAAAGGATAACAGAGATAAACATAAACAACTTTATGCCAATAAATTCTACCTCCAAGATGAAAAGGAAAAATTCCCTGAAATTACAACTTACCAAAACCGACACAAGATGAAACAGAAAATTCTAATAGCCCACACCTATTAAAGAATTTAAATTTATTATCAAAGTCTTCCCACAATGAAAACTACAGGTCTAGATAGTTTCACTCTTAAGTTCTGTCAAACATTTAAGGAAGAAAAAACCCCAATCTTACACAAACCCTTTCAGAAAATGGAAGAGGAGAGAATAGTTCTTAACTCATTTTATGAGGTCTGTATAACCCTGATACCAAAATCAAAGATATTATAAGAAAATTATAGACCAATACTACCTATGAACAAAAAAACATTAACGAATCCTGATAACAAGACAAAAGAATTACAATAAAAAGAAAATTACAGACCAATATTACCCATGATCATAGATGCAAAAATCTTGAACAAAATAGTAGCAAATCGAATCCAGCAATACATAAAAAGGATGATATATCATGACTAAGCATTGGTTTCTGGTAAAAAATTCTCAGAAAATTAGGAATAGATTCCTCAGTCTGATAAAGAGCAGCTACAAAAACCTACAGCTAACATCATGCTTAACGGTGAAATACTGAAGAGGCAAAACTAACCTATGATGAAAAATATGAGAGCAGGAGTGGCTCTAGAGAGTGCGGATGGGGACTGACTGGGAAGGGACATGAGGGAACTTTCTGGGATGATGGTAATATTCTCCCACTTCAAAGAGGTCTGGGTTACACGGGTGAATGTAATTTGTCAAAATTCATCAAATGGCACATTTAAGATTTGGCATTTCACTGTATAAAAATTTTACCTCAAAAAAAGAAAAAACTATTGAACTCTAACAATATTGATGCCAAGGTGCTTAGTGATAAAATATACTAATGCCTACAACTTTCTTCGAAATGCATCAACATAAAGATGGACTGATGGATGGACAGAGAAATTATAGATGGACAGGTGAGAAATAAGAAATACATATTGGTCTCTGGCCCTTGTTCCTGACATGGAGCCCCTAAAACCCATATAAACAGGGGTGTTGGACGATCTTTTGTTCTAATATTTAGTTTGACCCCAGTTGCTGATACAGAACTCTCAGACCTTTGTAATTTCCTCAGCGTAATTTCCTCAGGAACGTCTGACAGAGAGCTCCTAAAATCCCTTGGAATTTCCTGGGTGACAGCAGTGTCCTTTGTTCTAATGAGGCAACTTTTGGTGGGCTCCTAGACAGGGGCTGCTCACCAGAAAGACCAAGCCATGATTAGAAGCTTGGAACTTCCGCTCTCTCTGCCCATTCTCCAGAGAGGTGAGAGGGGCTGGAAATGGATTTAATAATTGCTTGTGCCTGTGTGATGAAGCCTCCATAAAAATCCCCAAAGTATGAGGTTTGGAGAGCTTTTCCAAGTTGGTGAACACACCAACATGCCGGGAGGGGAGCACACTCCAATTCCACAGGGACAGAAGCTCCTATGTTCGAGACCCTTCCAGACCTATCCTATGTATCTTCTTCATTTGGCTCTTCATCTGTATCCTTTATCATATCCTTTATTATCTAATAAACTGGTAAACATAAGTAAGTGTTTCCCTGAGTTCCATGAGCTGTTCTAGGAAATGATCAAATCCAGTGAAGGGGTCATGGGAACCTCCAATTTGTAGCCAAGTTGAGCAGAAGTTGTGGGTAACCTGGGGACCTAGTAATCGGTGATTTGCATCTGAAGGGGGGGCTGTCTTGTGGGACTGAGCCCTTAACCTGTGGGGTCGGCACTCACACCGGTTAGTGTCAGAACTGAACTGAATTGCAGGACACCCAGCAGGTGTCAGAGAATTTCTTGACGTATGGAAAACCCACACATCTGGTGTCACAAGTGTCGTGAGTGTGAGCAGAGGAGAAAGACATGAGTGTTTTTCTTTTACAATAAGTATGCGATAAAAACAAGTATCTAGAGTCTAGGTATTAGGAATACGGGTGTTTACAATTCTTTCAACTTTTCTATATGTTCGAAATTTTTCATAATTTCATAAAAATTTTCAAATAAACAGCTCACAAGTGAACTTTAGGAACCCAGCCATTTAAGAACTTTTTTTTTAATAATATAAAAAGTATCTCCCCCAAAGTACTGTTCCTGAGAAGAAGCGTGAACTCATTGCTGTTTAGGTTCTGTGACCTGCAGACCAGTGGAAATGTGCTTATCAATGTGTGTCACTGATTAACTTGATTATCTGCCACAGGTCTAGGTTTGGTAGGATGATGAATGAAGTATCAGAAATCCAAAAGTTACTAACTTTGGAATGCAGATGATGATGTTCCTCCTAGGAAACTTCCTTTACTTATTTAGGTTTTGCTTAAACTACAATAAAAATTAGTTTCCTAAAGGTCACAAAAATGACTGCTATAGGAATGAGAAATAACTATAATAAAAGATTAACTTATTTTCCCTGAGCCAAGAATGACTAAAAGATAAGGTAAATGTAAAGCAGTTGTCAGGTTTCTAAGAAAAAGCATCTCATATTTTAAGTTTACTGCAGAAAATTCCCAAAGAAGACAAGGTGCATATGAGTAATTCAGGGTAAATGATGGGGTCTGGGGGGAGGGGGGTTAAAAATGAAGGCTACTTGAAGTGAGACCTAAGCAAGGATGACCAGTGATGAATAATATCGATCTCAGGGTTGAAAGAAATTCCCAGCAACAACAAAGCAAGAAGGACCTTTATCTGCAGCGAGAGCCACTACAGACCACAGAAATGGCTACATATTGCAGAGAGAAATCAAACATAAAGAATTTACCTTCCCCTAAGGGTTAGGAGAAACTCTTCCAAAATAAAGATGGAGTACATTTTACAACAGATCTCTCATTCTCTCTCAAATCTGGAGGTTGGGAGATCCTTAAGTAACATTTTTTTTTTCTTTTTAAAAATATAACCATCTTGGAGGAAATCTCTTTAAAGCTTTATAAGAGTATACAATTTCCTATAAAGAGAATATAATTTAACACATTTTAAGAGAAGATTCAAGATCCTACCATTCTTAGTCACGCTGTAACGCAGCAACTGTTGACACCCACAGAGGGATGGTGCGCACGCCCTTCTGCACCGTACTCCTCCACGAGTCTGCCTCTCATTGTTTTTATCTGCCTTGCTGTTGGCCTGTGCCAACCTTTCTTTTCAGTTCTTATGTGTCACAGGCTTAGGAATCAGAATAGAATTCTGCATAAAATAATGCTCAAGTCATTGGTCTGAGAGGGTTTTAGCAAAGAAGCTTTATGAGATCTATTTTGGGTATTTAGTTTTCCTCGGCCTACTTCCTAACTGTCACCTTTGGTTTTTTTTTTTTAAAGATTTTATTTTTTTCCTTTTTCTCCCCAAAGCTCCCAGGTACATAGTTGTATATTCTTCGTTGTGGGTCCTTCTAGTTGTGGCATGTGGGATGCTGCCACAGCGTGGTTTGATGAGCAGTGCCATGTCTGTGCCCAGGATTCGAACCAACGAAACACTGGGCCGCCTGCAGCGGAGTGCGTGAACTTAACCACTCGGCCACGGGGCCAGCCCCTCACCTTTGGTTTTGATAAGCAAAAAATTATTGCAATTGGTTTTTTAAATCCACGACAAAGAATCATAAAATTTAAATGAGGATAAAATGCAAATGTTACCTATGAAAAGACCATTGGTCTGCTTTATGACATTTTGTTAATTTCTCAAAAGGCACCTAGTCATTTTTGGATTGTATCACAAAATGAACGTATTTAAGCCTTTCTAGTAGACATCATTTGTTTGTTTTCGCAGCATCTGGCACACAGGAGGCATACTGGACAAACTCACTACAGGGAATTGACATGTTCCATGGAGGTCATACACCTCTTGCCAGTAGTTCCTGAACTTTAATGAGAATAAAAATCACCTAGGGGAACTTGTTAAAAGGCATATTTCCAGGTATTAACCTACAGATTTTGACTGTGCTTGTGAATGTGTATGAGTGTGTGTTTTGGAGGGTGAAGTAAAAGCCTACATTTTAAATAAACACCATAGGTGACTCTTAGGAAAATGGCTTGTAGATGACCCTCTGGAAACACTACCCTTGACAATTCTGTGAGAGGTGGTAGCCAGAAGTAAAGACCAGAGCTAAGACGCAAAGTGAGAAGGAAAAGTAGAGAACAAGAGAGCTCACAAAGCCTAGAAAGCCATCTGGTCAGGCTAAAGAACTCATGAAGGTCACAGACGTACCTGGGGCAGTGAGGAGAAGGTGTACAGTAACCGCCCAAAGACAGCAGAGAACAGCCACCGAGCATGTTAACGACGGCACAGAGCAAAGGGGCTAACGAAAAGAAACGTGTTAAGAGATGCTTGGGAAATTCCTAAAGTCAAGTTAGCACATGTAGAGCTACTCCTGAACTTAAGCAGCATAGAGAGACTAACAGAAAGAGCCACATATTTGTCGAAATCAAGGGAGCAAGTGCTTTGGCCAGCAAATAGGGATCCGTGGTTGAGGATTACAGGACCATGACCTAGGTATGAGATTTAGAGTAACGGCCTGTTAAAACCCTGCTTGTAGTATAAACCTAGGCTAAAGTAAGTCCTGGGGTGCACTCGTAATCACTCTGTGCACCAGAAGACTTTTTGCACTATTTCATAAACTGAGAAAGTCTAGAAACAATAGTACAGTATGGACACGTGAAAGCACTATCCAGGCTGGCCCAGTGCTGCTCAGTGCCTTAGTACTGAAGTGCCTTTAAGGAATCATTCCTCTCCAGGAGAACATGTCAGGTTCTGCCCACAAGGAAGACTGTACCAGAGATCCAGCCTTCCAGAAAAACTGTTCTTTCTGAGCACCTTGTCCCCTCTACCTCATACTCTCTCTTCCCTCCATTTCCCTGGTCATCACCCCTGCTGTACACCCAGCATTTTATTATCAATTTCCCCTATAGCTCAGTGTACCATCAGCTTCTTTTAGCCTTTGACCTCACTTCTTTCCACTCAAAGTTGAATCTCATGGTAACAATGCTCACTCAAAGGCAACAAGTCAGCCCCAGAAACCCCATCCTTCTGTGTAATGCCACTGGGCCCCAGGCAGGCATGTTCTTTGAAGGTGAAATATAATGCTCTTCTCTTCTCCCGCTCCCTGCCCGCCCGCACCTTCCCACTGCCCTGGGTGATGATGGTGAAGAGGTACCCAAGCAGGAAAATTCCATGGAAGTTTTCTGTTTGAGACCTGCCTTAGGCCCACTTTGCCATACTTTCACAGGAGTGACGTAGTGATGAAATCACAAACCACTCTCAAGATGACTGTGGACGGTAACCCCAACCTACCAGCATAACTTGGTTGATTAACATTTCCACCTTTTTTTATACAGTAATGAACAAGATCAGCATCATTATGCAGAGCAGCCTTATACAGCAAGTTCTCTCCAAAAACGTTTCTTCGGTTAATGCTAGAACGAGATAGTTTATTCATCTTCATTTTTTCTGAAACAACAGAATAAGCAAAAGAAAATTGAAAAATAATAATCCTTATTTGAACATCAGGAGGAATAGAGGTAACAGGGTGAATCTAGTCAACATTCTAGAATAGAGGTATATTATATTACGAAAGAGTATTTCATCCACTAACCAAACTATAAGGGGGTGAAAGAGATAAATGTCATTAGTTTGAAAATATTTGTAATAAATTATAAATCATTTAAGCCGTTTATATTGATTGAAACCCCACAAAAGGTGTATATATGAGAAGACTAACAGATTATTTTCTTAAAAGTTCTGGTGAAAAAGATTATTTAAATCTAGAATTAGATGTTATCAAACCTAACCAAATGTTGTAATACCAAACTATATTATAAAACCATGAGGAGAAAATCTCAGAGGTTTATAAAATACAAAAATTAATCCCAGTAAGACCCAGAAAAAAGAGTGCTAAATTTTTTCTTTGCTAAAAATAACTGTCATGAAATTAAATAAAGAACTATGATTTTGATCTGTACCATCATTTTAATTTCCTAAGCAAACAAATATACAATTAAAATATTTTTCCAGTTTATGCATATCAAGTATCATTTCTCCACTGTGCCTCCTAAAATACTGAAATGCCTCATTTAGATACTCCAAATCTTGTCAATTTTCGTGGATAACACTCTTGTGGTTTTCCTGAAATTCCTGCATTTCCAAACTATATCATTTTGATGATCGCTTTGCCAATTCTGATCTAGCTAATGTGCCCCATCCTGAAACCTCACAAAGGTAAATGAGTACTGTAGCAGGCTTCTTAATGGACCACAATCTAACTGTTTTGCCTTTTATTTGACTCCCTCCATTCAGTCCCAATGTAAGACAAATCAACTGCTGAACATTTCAGTCTTCCTTCCCCCACCCGGACTACAAAGCATTCTGCTTTCACCAGATAAACTGTATGCTTCCCAAAATTAGTACTCCCAGATTTGTCACTGCCATTTCTACTTGCTATTAATCATGTGATTTATTAAAAATAATAACTTATGAAGAATACAAACATTTTCAATGAAGACTAAGTTGCAGAAGACATTCACTTCCAATCATGACTAAAAAACTGCTGTGACTTGCCCTCCCATTGTAAACACCTAGAAAAATAGATGAAATATATGGGGGGAGGGAATCCCTATATTCAGACATTGGATAACAGGCAGTTGAGCTCTCTGGCTCCCCTGAGTGAAGAGAAACAATGAAGTGAGCCTCAAGACCCCTCCAGCTTCTTGTCTGGAGGCACTCTGCACAGTACAGCACAAGCACAGCAAGGGGATCCTGCTGAGCTGAGGAGACGGAGGTCACAGTTTGGGGAGGCTGGGGTGGCTAGAATTGGCAGGGCAGGGCACCAGAGATGAGAGAGTTGAGAAAAGGTACCAGAAGTCTATAAAAGCGGCTCCTTGAGTTGTTATCTGATTACTAAACTGCTCATGTGTAGAGTGAGTCTTCATGAGGCTGGGCAAGGACAACTACCTAGGAACCATCAATGAACAACTGTCCAGGGTCACACAGAGCTAGGAGACATTCCCACTCCCGCCATCCTGAGGCGAGAGACCTTGCTGAATATTTAGTAGAGACCCTTGATGGGTTATGTCTTAGTAGCAAGGCTAAACCAGTTCTAGAGTAAAACCTACACCAAATCTACCTAACGAGGGTTTTAAAAAGTGTTGAAATGATCAAGCTGATCTTCAAGTAACTTGTCCACCCAAACAAACTTTAACACTCTCAAAATAGAGATACTCTATAACACTTTGTTACACAAGGATATCCAGTTCTTCTCCACTGCAAAGGCATTATGCCTTTGTCAGAACTCAGGGTCTATTTCTGAACTCCCTTTGGTTCCATTGACCTATTTCCCTGTCTTGATGCCAATGTCATGCTGTTTTGATTACAATACCGATGTAAAAATTCTTGAAATCAGGTAGTGTTAGCCCTCTAACTTTGTTCTTTTTCAGAGTCACTTTACTACTCTAGGTCCTTTGCATTCCATGTGAATGTTAGAACCAGCTGATGAATTCCTACAAAATACCCTACAGAGATTTTGTTTGGGACTGTGTAGAATCCATGCGTGTACTGACCAGAAATAACATCTTAACAATATCGAATCTTCTGACTGATGAATAAGCCATATCTCTTCATTTCTCTCCATCAAATTTTCTTTGATTTCTCTGAACAATGTTTTATAGGTTTCAGTATACCTGTCTTTTATATCTTTTATCAAATTTATCCCTAAGTAGTTCATATTTTTTGATACTATGTATCAAATTTTGCTAATTGTTTGGTTTTCAAATTTCACTAATTGTTACTAGAATATAGAAATATAACTAACGTTTGTATATTGATCTTGTATCCTGCAACTACGCTAAGCTCACTTATAGCTGTTCATATTGCAGATTGCATCAGATTTTCTACATACGTGATTATGTCATTTGTGCCTAAAGACAATTCTACTACTTCTTTTCCAATATGGATGCCTTTTATTTGTTTCTCTTACTGACGGGCTGGCTAGGATCTCCAGTACAACGTTCAAGAACAGTGGTGCGAGCAGACGTCCCTGCCTCATTTCTGACCTTAGGGGGACGCATTCAGTCTTCCTCCATTAGGCATGACAGCTGTGGATTTTTTGCAGATGCCCTTTGTCAGGCGGACAAAGTTCCCCTCCATTCCTAGCTTGCTGAAGAGTCTTCACCAGTATTGGATGTTAGGTTGTTGTCAAATGCTTTCTCTGCATCTATTGAGATAATCACATGGTTTTTCTTTTTTGGCTTGTTAATATAATGAATTACCATGATTGATTTTCAAAATGCAAAACCAACTTGCGTTCCAAAGATAAACTCACTTAGTCATGATATATCATATAATGTTGTATTTGATTTGCCAAAATTTTGTTTAGATTTTTGCACCTATGTTCATGAAGAATATTGATCCGTAGTCTCCCATTCTCGTAACATCTTTGGATTTTGCTATCAGTTGAATGGTGGCCTCACAGAATGAGTTGGGAAGTATTCCTTATCTTCAATTTTTTGAAAGAGTTTGTGAAGAGTTTGCATTATTTCTTCCTTAAATGTTTGGAAGAATTTACCATTGAAAGTGTTATAGACTGAATTACCTCCCCTCAAAAGTCATATGTTGAAGCCCTTAATACAATAGGATTCATATCCTTATTAAAAAAAAAAAAAAGGGGCAGACACACCAGAGCTCTCTGCACACGCAGGAAGGACACTGTGAGAAGGCAGCTGTCTACAAGCCAGGAAGAGAGGTCTTACTAGAAACTGAATTTTCCAGCACCTTGATCTTGGACTTCTAGGCTCCAGGACTGTGAGAACATAAATTTCCATTGTTTAAGCCATCTGGTTTGTCGTATTTAGTTATGGTAGCCCTAGCGGACTAACACAGAGGCATCTGGGCCTTGAGGTTTTTCATTTATTGATTTGTTTTTTGGTGGGAAAGTTTTTAACTGCAAACGCAATTTATTTAACAGATATGTCATTAGTGTGTTGCCCATTTCTTTCTAATAATTTGTGTCTTTCAAAGAATTTGTCCACTTCATCTAAGTTGTTAAATGTATTGGCAAAAAGTTGTTCATAATATTCTCTTATTATCCTTTTCATATCTGTAGACTATGTCATGATGTCACCTCTCGTTTCTGATATTGGTAATTTGTCTTTTCTTTTTTTTCCCGATCAGTTTGGCTAACGGTTTATCAATTTAATCGATCTTCTCAAAGAACCAGCTGTTGAGTCCATTGATTTTCTCTATTATTTTTCTGTTTTCTATTTCCTTGATTTCTGCTTTATCACTGCTATCTTCTTTACTACTTCCTTTCTTCTGTTTACTCTGGATTTCATTCACTCTTCTTTTTCTAGTTTCTTAAGGTAGAAGCTGATGTCATTGATTTGAGCATGTTCTTCATTTCTAACACAAGCATTAATACTGTACCCGCCCCAACAATGACTCTTTTCATGACATTCCAAAATATTGCTACATTGCGTTTTCATTTTATTTTAGTTAAAAATACTTTCAAATTTCCCTTTCATTTTCTTCTTTGATCCATGGGTTATTTAAAAGTGTGCTATTTAATTTCCAAATATTTCAAGATTTTACAGAGATCTTTCTGCTACTGATTTCTGATTTAACTCCACTGGTATCAGAGAATATACTATTTATAACTTTAATCCTTTCAAATTTATTGAGACTTGTTTTATGGCCCAGCATATAAACGATCTTGATGAATATTCTGTATTTGAAAAGAATGTGGGATCTTCTATTATTAGGTGAGAAGTTCTATACATGTCAAATAGGTCAAGTTGGTTGATAGTGCTGTTTAAATACTCTATATCCCTACTGATATTCTGTTTATTTGGGTTACTATAATAAGTTATCAATCATTGAAAGAGTGGTAGTGAAATCTCTCATTGTAATTGTGGATTTGTCTATTTCTCCTTGAAGTTTTATCAGTTTTTGCTCCACGTAGTTTGAAACTCTGCTACTAAGAGAATAACTATTTAGAATTATTATGTACTCTTGATGGAGTGATGCCCACATCATTATAAAATAACTTTCTTTATCCCTAATATTCTTTGTTCTGAAATCTACTGTCTGACATTAATGATGCATTATATATTAGTACATAGTGACTCCAGCTTTCTTTTGATTGGTATGGTAGGATAAATAATGGTCCTCCAAAAATGTTCACATCCTAATCCCCATAACCTGAGAATGTTACCTTATATAGGAAAAGGGACTTTACAGATGAGATTAAGTTAAGAATTTTGGGAAGGGAAGATTACCCTGGATTATCTGTGTGAGCCCTAAATATAATCACAAGAATCTTTGTAAGACGGAAGAAAGATCAAAAGGGGAGAAGGCACTGTGACAAAAGAAGCAGAGACTGGACTGATGTGGCCAGGAGCAAGGGAATGCTACAGCCCTGAGAAGCTGGAAGAGGTAAGAAACAGATTTTCCCCTAGGGC